TATACTTAAAAAAAATTATTATACATGTCAGTAAATAAAAAATCTTAAAAGTCATTTATTTAAAGGGTTCCGATTTGCTGTGGAACCCCGCTTTAGTGAAAGTAATTTTAGCATAAAATAATTATATTTCGACGTAGTTTTAGTTAAAATAATTTATGAAATGAATTAATTTAAATATAATTATATTTACTCGGAGATGAATGCAATAAATAAATATAAAAATAAACATATTTATTTACATATTGACATATAAAATAATTAAATTTCGACGTAGTTGCAAAATAAGATTTATATATTTAATTATTAAGAAAATATACTTTGATTTATTATAAAATCGTATGTATTTATAATTTATATTAAATATTATTTATTAATACGTATTATATGTATACCTCTAAAATTTTTTAATAGTTTTATAAATGGTTTTGGTCATTATATCTTAAATACACAATATATATATATATGGGGTAATAAGAAATATTTAATTTGATATAAAATTCTATTGAAGTCATAATAACAGTAATGATAACTGATAATAACAATAATAATGTTACTGATAATAATGATAATAACTGATAATAAGTTCACTAAAATCTTTACTTGATCTCTTATTTACTACTAAGTCTTTGTGGTACAGTTTGCCACGCTAAGGTGCTGATTTCTACTTACAACTATGGTAGACCATCCTTTATTAGAACCCTATTGTAGTTACGTTGAGTTGAGTTCGGAGGATTTCTAATGAATGATAAGGGCTCGCGTTGTGATCCTAATAAGATGCGTCTATCAGAGGGTTGTTCATGGACTCTGTTTAGAATCAAATGGGACCTCTACAAAATTTTTGTTGTATTTGGTTTTAATATGGCAGAGTTCTGGGTCTGGAACTCCTGCACATGTCTGATTATAAAAAATTTTATCGGGGGACAATTTTAGTTTAATTTGAAGGGATTAGTGATTTTCGTTTGGTTGTTAGCAGAAAAAATCTATGTCAGTCACGGGTGATTTACTTTGCTATCATATTTTAAGACCAGCAAGCAGAAATTGGTCTAACCATTCTTTACCAGCCAGATCAAAATTGACATAGTCCATATCAGAGATAGATATAATGAAATTAAACTGGGATTGTTTGTAAAAATTTCTATAACACTTGCTGAGACGCTAAAACACTTATAACACTGTTAAGCCTTAACCAGTAATGAATCCAGTAATTTTTTATTCCTTCAACAATATATCCAGTATTCAAATTGATCAATGCTTACAGCAAGTTCTTAAAAAAACTAAAAGTATAATAAATATTGAATAAAAATGATTTTTTTAGATAATTGATGAGAAGTCGATCCTCTAACACATCACGTACAAAAGATCTAGAACAGTCACCCCCCTCGACCAAATTGGGAATATAGTACAATACTTAGTGTATCCATATTTTATTATGTCATATCACTAAAATATCTTCCACGAAAGACATGTGAAACACTTACGTTTAACTTTTTGTATATATAAATTACTGAAGTCTATTAGAGTCCTTTATTGTATGTAGTATCGTTACACACTTCTGTTATTTTTTTAATTATAATAGTGATTTTTACTATAATATCTGTCAATCCAAAACATAATTGGGAAAATCATATAGCACACTGAAAAGTCTCTTTCCATATACTCCAATATACATACATACTTTATTGGAAAATATATATACAATTAAAAATAATAATAAAAAAAAATTAAAATAAAAAATAAAAATATACATTTAATTTAAATCCATTAATTCGATATATTTTAATTTCAGTTAAATTCCTTATTGGGACTCTACTGCTATTAGCAGTAGCATTGACGACGGTAACAGCTGAAGAGCAACCTGCACGCATAGTTTGCTATTTCAGTAACTGGGCTGTTTATCGACCGGGTATAGGTCGATATGGCATCGAAGATGTACCCGCTGAGTTGTGTACACATCTGATTTACTCATTCATTGGTGTGGATGAGAAAACTTGGGAAGTTCTTGTTATCGACCCCGAATTAGATGTTGATCAAAATGGTTTCCGAAATTTTACGCAATTGCGTCAAAAGCATCCAAATCTAAAACTTGAAATTGCTGTCGGTGGCTGGGCCGAAGGTGGTAAAAAGTACTCACAAATGTCAGCGGTACGTGAGAGACGCCAAAGTTTTATACGCAGCGTGGTTGATTTTATGAAGAAGTATGACTTCGATGGTTTTGATTTGGATTGGGAATATCCTGGAGCCACAGATCGTGGTGGTGCTTTCAGTGATAAGGATAAGTTTTTATATTTTGTACAAGAATTAAGACGTGCTTTCGATCGTGAAGGACGAGGTTGGGAAATCACAATGGCTGTACCAGTAGCTAAATTTAGATTACAAGAAGGTTATCATGTACCAGAATTATGCGAGTGAGTAGTAATAACTATATTTCTTATAAATATATATATTTTAATGGAAAATTGTTTTTTCGAATAGATTACTTGATGCTATACATGCCATGACTTACGACTTGCGAGGCAATTGGGCTGGCTTTGCTGATGTACATAGTCCATTATATAAACGTAAACACGATCAGTATGCATATGAGAGACTCAATGTGGTAAGTATTTTTATTAAAAATAAATTTTTACAAAAAAAACTGTCCCTTTTGGCTGATGCTATTTTGAGGTGTATTTCGAAAATACATTTTTTTACAATTTAATTTCAATATACTTTTTATTTTCGACAAAAACATGTAGTTTTCTATACCGAATTCTTTAAAAACATTAGTCGGGGAAATTAATATCTCGATAAGTAGATATGGGCTATTTACTTAAGTAAAGTAAAATGTTTGTTTCAAAATTAAATAAAAATTTAATAGAATTTTTATGTTAACATAGTGTCGACCTCAAGACCTTAATATTCTTGATTTTTATTTTTCTTTAAATTTAATTTAACTGTTAACAATTTTTATACATTTATCAAAAATCCTCACATTTCCATAGAATGATGGTTTAGCACTTTGGGAAGATATGGGCTGTCCAGCTAATAAATTAGTCGTAGGCATACCATTTTATGGCCGCACCTACACATTAAGTAATTCAAATAAAAACTACAACATGGGCACATACATTAATAAAGAGGCAGGTGGTGGTGCTCCCGGTCCTTACACAAACGCTAGTGGTTTCCTAGCTTATTACGAAATTTGTACAGAAGTAAATGATAAAGCAAAAGGCTGGACAGTTGAATGGGATGATCAAGGTATGGTACCATATACCTACAAAGATACACAATGGGTGGGATATGAGAATGAAGTATCGGTGCAAATAAAAATGGACTTCATTAAGGAGAGAGGTTATGCTGGCGCTATGACATGGGCTGTAGATATGGATGATTTCCATGGTTTATGCGGTCGTGAAAATTCTCTTATGCATATACTACATGATAATATGCGAAACTATCGCGTACCAGAACCAACACGCGAAACAACACCTAGGGTAAGTGTCTAACACAAATAAATCCACCAAGTGTGGCGAATAAATTATTTTTATCTAATTTATCAAAGCAGCACATACAAAATGAAATAATTTGTAAGTGCCGCTTGCCAAATTTGCTTAATTGCAAATGATTTGCTTATAATTTATTGTTTTGAGGTATTTTGAATTTTTCGCACTATTCTTTTTTAATTAAAATACAGCCTGAGTGGGCAAAGCCACCCGCAACACCGCCAAATCCGGATGAAGAAAATCTGCCCATTGCATCCACCACGAAACGTCCGATACCGAAACCACAACAAACAACAGTTCGGCCCACTGAAGCAACAACAACAACAAAAGTAAGCTACAAAAATATGTATTACATATACATATATGAGATATATATCTCTCTCTATAATTTTTTTGCTACAATATAATTTTATTAAACGAGATAAATTCTATTGGGGACCTTTAAGAAGTTAGATGTTAAAATTAATTATTTAATTCATGTTAAAGTAGGAACTTCGTATACTTTTATGTAAATAGAAGTATACTTTTATGTAAATGTAAATTATTATTATATATAATAATAAATAATTTTTTAATTTAGCAACACCTTATAGCATAAAAGTCATCTGTGCCAAAAAATTTCTCAGCCGCAAAATAGAAATTCTACTCACAAATACGGACCTTATTTTTAGTTGCCCTGCATTTGTATTAATAAGCTTCGTCAAAAATAGAAAATGTTGGAGAACTCAAAAAAAGATACATTTATGTAAATTCAGCAATAATCGACACTTCTATTGCTGCCAATAAAAATGTTAAAAAATTATGTGTAAACGCGAAAAATTTATTTTTAATTTAAATTCACGTTCGATTGAAAATGCAACAATTTATTTCGAGAATAAAGAAACTAAGTCAGAGTGCAACGAACGCTTCGTTGCATTTAAACAAAGTGCAAGAGAAAATCGCACTTGTTTGAACCGTTGACAGACTGACATCGACATTGACACTGAAATAGATCGAATATTTTATTGACATTTACCGATTTCTTTACATTTGATATTAAGTGTTTCGCATTAAGTGTTTTTTTCTTTCACTCTCTACAGAAACCTGCAAAAGTTTCAAAGAAACCGAAACCAAAACCAAAACCAAAGCCTACAACAAGTACTAGTACAACTACAACAACAACAACCGAAGCAGCTCTGCAAAAAGATCCAGAAATTACACAACCGGATCCAGAACAAAATGATGTCAACATTGATTGTACCAATAGAGATTATGTACCTCATCCAGATTGTCAAAAGGTGAATATTTATCCCAACTAAATATGATTAATAATATAATATATACATAAATACAACATATCTTTATCTTATAAAATGTATCTGTTATTTTTTTATATTGATTATAATTATTATTATTATAATTATTATTTTAATATTTAGTATTATCGTTGCGTACATGGCAAACCAGTCGAATTTGAGTGTAAAGAAGGTACCGCTTTCCATACAATCCTCAATGTTTGCGATTGGATTGAGAACAGCGATCGTTACTATTGCACCAGACTTAAGAAGAAAACTGTGGACAATGAAACAAAATAATTTTAAGTTAATTTAAATAATTTTATCATCAGAAATGTATTTAGTTTCTAAGGTTAATAAACAAAGACTTTAATAAATTATATTATTTAACAAAAATATATACGATATTCATTTAATTAAGGTTCTGTAGGTATTATCTTGGGAGATGAAAGCAAAAAGTAAGTAAGCAGCACCCATTTTTGACTAGTACCCATTTTATTCGTGGATTATCTTCTTATTTTTAGAAACATTTTATTTTCGTAAAAATAGGCTTAATATATGAAAAGTTAGAATTCCATAAATGAGTCCACGTTTATATCTTTCAATGATGATAACTTTTTGATTTACTATACTATTTTAGAGAATTTGCCTATTTTACTATATAGTGTCCTATTTACTTTACTGCATATTACTTGACTTACTAAATTGATTGGAAAATAATGTTAAAAAGAATTACTAGAGATTTGATTACCTTTAATTAAATATGTCCTGTGGCATATGAAGTTGTATAAGAAAAAAATTATAAAAGAAATCAAAGCTCCATTAGATCTTGAAAACCTATACATAATAAATGTTTAAAATGTATTTTCAAGTTTATTGTGTCAAAATACATATGATTGTTATGTTTAGCAATGAAACAGAGTACTCTGAGCTCAATGGATTGAGATGACATAGAGGTAGTAAAGTTCCTTAATACTTTTCCACTCTTTGCGGCATTAATTCCAAATCCATTTTAATAACAAGTAAAGTTGTTTAATACTTTAAACTAAATATTTTTGAAAGAAGTAATAAGATTCCTTAATACTTTTTCACTCTCTATGACACATATAACACTAATCCATTTTAACACCATGGTATAGAACAATTCTTAAAATATTTTAGTAAGCTTTTCTCCTCAATATAATAGGTAAAATAGTTTTTTTTTTGGTGCGAAGAGAAGGTCTAAAAATGCCTAAGACGCCGTTACTATGCTCTCACAATAGAGGTAAGCGCGAATTGCATGGATTAAAAACAATCCAGCTCCTGTAGCAGACCGTTTCTACTTCTCAACTTTATTGGGAATACTTCAAGGTGGAGTCCCTGTGTTGATTATCCATTAAAAAATGTATTCAATAGCCTGCGTCCAGGCCTTTTATTTGTATACCTTTTCTTCAAAATTATTAATTTACGAGATCATATTTTTTTCCGCTTAAATATGATTGTAGCGAAACGGTGTATGGCGGTTCAGTTTTCTTCAGAAAGCCTCATCTTCGTTGTGATATTTTCGACGTTTATTTCATCGACTATTGTTTCAATTGTAGTAGAAGAACATAGAAATTCCTTGATATTTTCGCCACTACCCTTTTTTTGCATCCCTAACACGTTTTTCACTAATTCATCATATATGGTATATCGCATATATACTAGATATACATATATACATCGCATACACTAGAAAACATAAAATACTTTATTTCTATATATTATTTGTGAAATAGTATATTATAGAAATTCTTTGAAAATCTTCCACTCACCTCTTTTGTTAGGTCTCACATATTTTTTACCAATCCATTTTATTAAAGTAGTGTATTATGATTATAAAACTCCTTCTGTGAATACAGGAGTTTTTGCAAAAAGAATAATTCGATTTTCAATTCATCAAGAGAAACAGTTCTTGATATTCTTGGCAGTAGGAATATATTTGTAGAATCTCTTTTAATTAAAATTACCAGACATGTTAAAGGTAAATCCCTAAACTAGGCAACAAAAAAAATATATGTAAAACAGAGTTATGGCGTATTCAATTGGTAAATATGGATTCAATCCAGATTTACTCTTGAAGTGCCCCAATTTTCTTGTTCAATCTTACATTTTAAAACTAATCTAACATTTTTGCAGTAATATTATTAGACATTTATATATTTTATTAAAACATATATCGAAGCAAATCATACTTTACTTTTCAAGTCTCTAAAACAGCCGTTAATATTTCAGGGTAATCTTCCTACCCTTCCAAAATATCTAGAGTGTTATAAATTAATCTCGAGTGTTATATATTTCATTCCAAGACTTACCAATCGAAATGAAATGAAATGAAATGAAATGAAAGAAGTGAATCTCGATTGAAGAAGTTACCTAAGATTTATTAATCGAGAACGACATTTGAATGTATTTTTAATACTAATATCAAACAAAATTGTTCTTATTGATGGGAGAGTCGTATCTTCTATCCAAATAGCTCATTGACACATTTTATTACTATACTTTCAATCATGATAATTTAAATGTTAAAATCAACTAATATGTTGATGAGGTAGATTTTTTTTAAAATATCTGTATTGTACGATCCCAAAAAATCATGATAATTTCAGCTTTTAAATAATGACTTCATCGTGGGGTCTTAACTTTAGCCGTTAGAACTATAAGGTTTTAGGTTGATGTTGATGAAGTAGATATTTTTAAAATATCTGTATTGTACGATCCCAAAAAATCATGAAAATTTTACTATTTAAGAAATGACTTCGTCGAGGGCTCTTAGCTTTAGCTGTTAGAACTGAAAGGTTTTGGGTTGAATTAACATCAACCTAAGTGAATTTTTTTTAAAAGATCTGTATTGTACTGTCCCAAAAAATCATCTTAGGGCTCTTAGCTTTAGCTGTTAGAACTGAAAGGTTTTATAAAATATTTATAAATCAATGTCTTTATAATATACATATATGAAAACAAAGAACATTCAAAACCGTTTTTGATACATTTTATTGTTGTCATAAAATCTACTTTACGTTAAATATATTTCGAATTATATTATAAACATTATATACTTAAAAAAAAATTATAAGGTAGGTGGAAAAAGTTCTTAAAGATATATATTATTAGCATGTGTCTTCTGTTTCTGACTCAGCTCACATCCGCTGCTTGCATAATTTTATTGCTCATACGCACCGAATGACACAACTTGCCTACTGTTCGATTTCAGTTTTTTTCAAATCAATTGATATGTTAAAAATATTATTTCTATATTTTATTCTATTTTATTTTTTTAAATAAATTAATATAAAAAATAACATTTTAATTTTAATATAAAATGACAGAACAATTTTGTGTTAGCAGATATAGTTCGAAAGATGAAAAAAATGACATGCCGAAACGTCTGATATTAGCACTTATCTTTAAAGAAGTATGATTTATGAGTCTTTTGAAGGAAAAGAAATCTTGAAGATAAATAGTAGACGGAATATTGAAGTATTAACTAATAAATTCCAAACAAATCCAAGAAATACATTAAAGACTAGAATATGTTAAATGTTTGAAAAGAAAAGAATTTTTATATATTTTTTATAAAAGTGCGACAGACCAGAACAAAACTGTCAACTCAAGGTTCTGCTATAAATTCATGTGATTTAACTTATTCAGAGAGATCCAATACCGCCATTCTTCTATTCTTCTCTTCTTCTATTTTATGTACTGATTAGATCGGGGTACATAATTTATTGCATATGTAATAAGCATGCAATATATTTGATTTGATTTGAGTGCAATTAAAGACCTGCGTGTACTTCGTGTCCTTTCGCAACTGAGATTTAGCAAATTTGATAATAATATTTCTTGAAAATTTATACGTTTAATTTAATTTAAACTAAAAATACATTTTGACGCTAATAAAATGTTAACATATTTGCCATGAATGTGACAATTTTTGAAGAAAATTTTACGTATGTATCACAGGCACAGGCGTATGCTCATGATAAATGGGCAGCAAATATTGTTTTTAAGCAGTGATTTCAATTGAATGAGTAATTATTTTATATGAATTAAAATAAATTTTTATGGTATTTATTTTAAAATAAGTATAATTTTATATATCAGAACAGCAATGTCCTGGAGAAGGACAGTTTAGTAGGAGACTGGCAAATCACTTAACGAGTTGAGAGGAATAGCACAAAATAAAAATCAATGGAAAACTTTTATGGACTTCTTAGCTCTGAATGGAGAATGGAAATAATAAATAATATAAATAATAGTTTTATATACATATTTAAAGTATAAAAATGTAGAGTTTTCATTAAAAACTTTGTTGAATATATACTTATAGTTCAATTGTTCTATAGGTAACGACAAGCATGCAACCCGCATCAGAGAAGATAAAATGAGATATGCATTTAAATACATTAATATATATAGTATTTATCTTTAAGTATCTTTAGGTACTATTGAAGATATTTCTAGATTGCAAGCCATAAAGGAAATGTAATTCAATACGTGCTCTTTCAGTATGTACTTGAAATTTATTTAATAATACAAAAGATCTCAGAAAAGTACTGGATTTCCATTGCAGTTATTGACGTATAGACCTCAAATGGGGCTTTGGGTATAGAACCAGAAGACATTATTAGGTGTGTCAATAGCCTGAATTTGTCAATGTAACTTCGTTAAACTTTGTCTTTATAGTCAGAGCACGACAGAAATTATGCGCTGCATTTTTCCTGGGTGTCTATACTAGCTAAACTTTGGAAATATTTATGTGTAAGTACATATTATTTTCGAATTTCGTTTATTAACAAAAATTTGTATGTGTTGATAAAAAAGTGAGACTATGTCCAAATTTATTTCTTGCTAAAAGTAAAACCAATTTAGACCTAGAACTAGGACTGTGCGTAGGTGAGTTATCCAACATCTAACTGGATTATTTGCATAAGTAAAAAAAGTGAGACTTTATTTAAAATTGTTTTCTGCTATTAGAGATCCAGAATTAGGAGTCCATCTTCACTGTAGATTGCATGTATTAGTAAAAAAGTGAGACTTTGTCCAAAATTCCTTCCTGCCATTAGAAATCCAGAATTAACAGTCCATTTTCACTGTAGATTGTATGTATTAGTAAAAAAGTGAGACTTTGTCCAAAATTCCTTCCTGCCATTAGAGATCCAGAATTAGGAGTCCATTTTCACTGTAGATTGTACGTGTTAGTGTAAAAGTGAGACTTTGTCGAAAATTCTATCCTGCCAAAAGTAAAGTTACTAGAGATCCAGAATTAGGAGTACGCATAAGTGAATGTCCAATGTCTAACTTGAGAGTCCATCTTCACTGTATTTTGTTGACTTCTTATGAATTTGTGGAGTGTGAAAATGCATTATGGCACATTGAATGGTGTGTTCATTTGTATAAGTTAATTTAATAAATTTCTTCTTATCGTAAGATCAGTTATATTAAAGAATTGATTTATCAAGGAGTATAAGTAAGACAAGTAGTATAAGTAATATTAAATTTAACTTGATACCTTTACGTTTGATAGAAATACCCCTTCTTAATCTTCTCTTATCTACTGCAGTGCAGAACTGAAATGAATAACAGGCCAAGTATCACAATAAAAACAACAGGCAACAGCTGTTGCAACAATACGCGGTGGCATGAAAAAATTCGTACAAAATTAAATTTGCATTATAAATACCTACGAAATTATAGATATATAAACAAATTCATTACAAATAAATTTATTTGTATTTATTTTATAATTTTATCATATTTTTATTTCAATCTTTATTTTTATTATATTTTGTATGAGCAAATATTTACGTGTTTGCAACAACAGAAATTAAATCACTTGTGGCATGAAACAAATCGTTTTACTCGATGTTCTTTTATTATTTCAGTATTCAGTATTCTCAAAAATTTTTAATATACATTTATAAAATTTATTTATTTAATTTTCTATTTTTTTTTCAATTTATATATATATATTTTTGTTGAATCCTACGTAAAAATCATACTAACAACGAAATGTTTCACTTATTTCAACACAGCGCCAAATCATCCCAAATTGTCAGCATTAAAAATGAGAAATTGTTAATCTTTTCGTGAGCAAACGAATTTGTATCTAAAATTAAAAACATTGAGTTTTGTCAAACGAAACATTTGAGCACATACGATAAGTGAGGTGGTGTTTATAGAAAATCTAACTAAATTACTATATCTCAAGACTGAAAAGGTATTTACTTAGATTTTCTTTTGAAATATTGTTCACACTTTTTCGAATTTTTTAGTGCTGTTAGCTGGCACTATTGTGTAATAATTTTCCCATTTTTATAGAGTTATTAATCAACACATTTTCGTTATCATTTCCAAAAGAAAACATTTTAATGAAAAAAATCCATTAGGTCTGTTATAAAATGATTCGAATTAATTTAGAAGAGTTTGAACCACAAAATCTGCCTTTTATATATATATATATATATATATATATATATATATAATATTATATATATATATGTATAAATAGATGTATATAGATGTATATGTATATAAATATGAGTTTAATGTGACAACGACTAGATGTGAGTGTAATGATATGGTATAGGTAGATATATATTCTAAACAATGGATAGTAATTGTTATGTAACGTTTGTTATTTTTGGTATAAATTGTTGTCATTGCAGATGTTCATTTTCTTTCATTTATATATTCTTTTATATTGTATTTTATTTAAAAATAAGAATATTCAAGACTATATTCACTTTATGTCCATAGCATGTTTAATGTCTACCTTAATATATAGTGATGCTTAAAATAGTTCTTCAACATCATCAGAAGTATCGTTACCGGTCTTACCATTCTACAATAAGTCCCTGCAACGATTCCCATTGTACGCCGAAGAATTTTGATAAGTTATATTAAAATAAATATTATTATCCAATATAGGTATAGTCCGAATATAATCTAAGAATATCTAGACATCTTAGGTTATATAAATAGGTTCTAGTATTTACATATTTCCTATGTAATAGAAAACAATTCTTATTTAGAAGTCCTAAAAATGTATTAAAAATGTCTTTGCCAAATATTATGGAAATGTCAGAGAATTTTTAATTTGAAGCCCTAATTTTCTATAAAGTTTGCAATTATTTAGAGCAGTAGTATTTATAGTAATATAAATACCATATTATATCTTTGTTTCAGACGCTAGAATCATTGTGGACTTGTTGGTATAGACTAGTGATATTAAATACTTTCACGAAGAATACTCTGTCAGCAAAAAATGACAAGATTTGTGAGAACAAGTTACAGCATTATTTCTGGAGATTGATTTGCTTCAAACACCTGCTATAATAGCTCCTTGATTTCTTTGAGATACCCGTATAACGAGCAACAAAGCATAGTTGAAACTCAATGCTATCTAAATCAGATTCATCTAAACATGAACAATTTTCATCTAAACAATTTTTTTTAAAACAAGTTCGAGGTTTTTATATAGCCAGTCCATAATTAACCAGCAATTACCCAGTTTTCAAGGTACATCCAATCGATTTGGGTATTTTACAACAAATGTATAAATTTTTCTTTATTAACAAAACTACTGAGGTGTATCTAATGAGGTGGTGTGTTTCAAAAATATTTTTTGATGTGTATTTTTTTGAATACATACGACTATATAAATAATTCACAAACGCTGCATGGACTAAAATTCTTGCCTGATTATACTTGCAATATTAGTATGAGTATAAGACTACTAATTATAATTAAACTTTAAATCTCATAGAGTACTTTAGCTTGTGTTGGCTTTCTTAGCTGAAATTGCTCTAACTTCGACAAATCTCTGAAACGATAAGTGAGAAGTGACTTCACCGAAGCTACATCTCTAATTGGCTGTGACATAGAGATCCACATGGTTTGGTTATCTTATATCTTTATCCGTTTCGTAAACGTTTAGGATACAAGAGGGGTAAGTGAACATAAAAAATGCAAAGGATAATGGACTAAATGATTCTGTCGAATTGTCTCCACCGAAGCGAACTTCTCTTGTTCGCTGTGACATAGAGATCCACACCGGTTAGTTATCACATTTTTTTATCCGTTTCCTAAATTGCTTAGGGTAAAAGTTGTTGAAGTAAGCATACGAATTGTATATAATAATGGACTAAATAGTTACTCTATACCAGTCTTGGCCATTCTTCATCCGCTCTTAGTAAACACAATACTGTATTTTAAACAAGCTTTCTTTTCAATACTATATTATACCGTTTAATTACTATAAGTTAAATTTTATATATAATGAACCTTAAACACTGCAACAAAAAGAAAATGATATATTCAAAATGATGTGCAAGTAAAAGTCACCACGAAATTTTGCTACAATAATTCAATTGAGTAAAATCTCACTCATCTCGAAACTCACTCATAAAATCCAATGAAAATCTTGTATGAAAATTATTTGTGAATTTTCGATATGAAAAAATTAAAAAATTTCGCGGTCACAAGGTAAATCTGTAGGATCTCCTTGTTGTGTTACGAATTAGTTTTGGACCGGGAGAGATCGACTCGTATACTCGTACTCGTACCTTTCTGATTATATTTTTAAGTTTTAAATAGATTTTTTATATTGAATAAAACGGTTTTAATTGAATTTTAAAAGCAAGGCATTTGAAATAGAAGCCAAAACGAAAACGACACGACATTTTTTAATGCTGAAAAATTAATTTCAAATAATTTTTTCAATTTAGTTGGCAATCGTTGAAAGGGACACAAAGGATTACCCATGAAACGATTGTTAAACTAAATACATACGAAAAATAAAGAAATTATAATTTAATTAACGATAATTAAATTTAAAAATCGAACGACGTGGAACGAATGTGAAAAAAAGGATAATAAAAAATTTATAATCTTTTGTGGTGCTTTTAAATTAAATTAAATTAAAATTAGAATAAAATAAAATAAAATAAAATATATAAAAATATTAAAAAAATAAATTTAATTTTAATATGATTTTTTATAAAAATTTTAAATTTTCAAATATTTTTTTTCTAGTGCATTCCCCACGAAATATAAAAAAATTATATTAATGCAGTGTACGAGAGAGTGAAATATTAATTTTCATTATTAACAATTAAGTAACAAAGTAAATAGAAATTTATGACGTGACATAAGTACTAACAAAATACAACAACGCTTGGTGGTTCAATTAAGGAAGTTTTGTTATTTTTGTTATGGGGCGGTTAACATTTTGGGTCCTGCTAGGACTAACGTTATTTACCGTCTCATGTCATGGTATGTGTAAACTAAAATTTTTTAATTAATGTGTTATAGAAAAAGAAGATTATAAAATAAAAAAAAATATTTATAATAAATGCATTTTACACTGAAAACTTTTTATTTCCAAAAATAAATATATAATATTTTTATGCTTAAAAACTGCGAATTGAAAGTGTGAAAAATTAAAATAGTCTCAAATAGATTAATAATTTGAATTATATAATGTGGCCCATAAATATATGCACAAACGTATATGAAGAAGTGTCATCGACGGCGAACGACGAACAGCGGTTGCCAAAAAGTGCTATTAGCACAGCAACGAGCGACCTACGAAAGATACTCGCAGATCGACAGCGGCATTACCAACTGACAAAGCAACAAGATACAATGAGTTCTCATAATATTATGCAATTTCTTCTTCGACGTTTAGGAAAATATCTAGTCAAAAATGTATTTTAAAAATATTTTTTCTTATATGATCTCGACTGTGCACATATCAGATGAAATTGTGAAAAGTGTCCGCAAATATCTTTTTGCTCCTAAGTACAAGAAAGATACTTTGAGTGCTAATTAATTGAATTTCTCTAATTTATTCGTATAGAACTTGAGTGGTAAGTGGTAAGTGTTAGTGTCAATTTTGCAGGAAGAGACAAATATGATTCGGGCAGATATGAAAATGAAAATCTAAAGCAAAACAAATCTTCTCTGTCTCCGACTCTGACTATCTAAATGTGAACAACGGGTCTGAGTTGAGTATGAACGGGAAAATTTTGCCATAGTGGCTCGTTTCGTTTAATTTAAATTTAGAAATGGCATTCACAAAACAACAAGAAATTATATACATTTTATACATTATATGCATGTATAAAATAAATAAAATATAAAAAATGTATGAAAAAATTATTAGTAAAAAAATTAAATAAATAAATAAATTTGTGGCTAAATGAAAATATACGAAATACAAAAAAAAAAAAAAAACGAAATACAAAAGAAATACGTATTTTAGAGAACTAAGAGCGCGACAAGACGTAGAGATATTGAAATTTTGTTTAAATACTAAATATTAAATTTTAAAAATAAATTAAGCAAAATCTTCAATTTACAAAAGCAAAAAAACAAACACAACGATGCCATTCAACAAATATTATTTATATAAAAAATTATTTTTCTGTTTGGTAAATATTGTATAAAAATAATCTCAGTGCGCTTTCACTCCATCGAGTCCATACGCAAAAGATATTATAATTATTTTTTCTATATATTTTCTTACGTTGGCGTTGAGTGAGATTTTATTACATTTCACTATGGCTAAATGCTTAGAATCTGAAGAAGATTGTCTTAATCCTTGAAAATCACAAAAAATTAATATAGCTTAAAAAATCCTCATCATCATTTATTAAAGTAATACCTAGAATCAGATAAATGGTCAGCAAATTATCACTTTATTTTTTAAACCTTTTTATTCAAATTTAAAAATAAAATCAAAAACATAAAACTTTTATTTCTTTAAATTTAATTAATAAAATTATTTCTTAAATTATTTGCAACAGTAATGATAGGCCGAGAAATATAATGGGCAATAATAATATAGTATATATTTCTCTAATCTGAGTTCTCGGTCATAGGGATATTTTCGACAATTGTAAAGTAGATGAGCTAGCCAGACGGGGTGCTTCGAGAAACCACTCGAAACACCTAAACAATTTGGGTACATCGTTGACATCATGCAAATTGGTATTCAGTTCTTCCTATGCTGAACATTTTAATAAAAAATGGGAAGGCTCTTCGATATGCAGGCATCTGTATGCAATTTGGCCACATACTAATAAAAGAAAATCGAACTCTCTCATTAAGATGCCCCGTAGAGATATCAGTCTTGTAGTAGGTTTACTAACAGGTCATTGTATTCTAGGTAACCATGTTAGGAGACTAAATCTTCCTTTCAACCATATCGGCTATATCTCCTTTGCTTCACGCGCTGCGCCGTCTTAACATTTTAGGAGCTTTCTTCTTTGAGGATCTTGGCGAGACCTCCCTTTAAATTGCATCATAAGCTTTGCCAAAGGTTCTAGATGGTTACAGCCCTTGGGTTTTTAATAATACGGCAGCGCAATGGGCCTATGGTTTCTACAAGAATCACTGGGATCGCCGGTATAACCTAACGTAACCTAATATAGTAGTGAGCCTGATGCTTAAGATTGCGACTTAAGCAGCAAAATGCAAACAAAGGCAAGGGCCAAAGGCATAAAGTCCTAAATTTATAAAAGTGTGAAATCTCTATGTCCCATATTATAATCTTCAGCTCGAGTAAATTTTTTTATTTGTATCTAAATAGCATTTATAAGATGAAATTAGAAAAGAATACATAGCACAAAAAATAAACCTCATAAGGAAAAAGATTTACGTGACCTGCTATCTTTAAATATTTTTCATATTGGTTTTAATATATTTTTTAATTCGTCTATAGGTCCCTTTTTTGTTAAATAATTCAACGTTTAATATTTTTTATTATACTCTATATTTCAAATCTCCTTGAGAGTCATCATCAGGATCATGATCTAACACAAATTAATATTACTAAATTTATATATATCTCTTTATTCTATAGTCTACAAAAAAGGAACCTATAGCCGAATTAAAAAATATATAAAAACCATTATAAAAATCAGTTCGATAAACAAATTCAAAAAATTTTATATATTTTATAATTTATTTTTTTGAAATATAATACCTAAATATTTTTTTTTATCAAAACAAAAAAGACGTAATGTACATAGTTTTTATTTTTAAAATTTTTTATTATTTAAAAATACCATTTATATAATTTTTATAACAAATAGGTTAAAAATAAAAATTTTTATAATAAATACATTAAAAATAATTTTTTATTTATGTTTTTATGTTTTTTTTACATACAAAAAATGTTAAGTACTACTATCCTTTTAAATATAAATAAAAAAAACATTTTCCTATGTATTTTGTAATATTATTAGATATATTTTATTATTTCTAATAAATCCAATACATTTATCATTTAGAAAGAAGACTTAAAATAGAGAAAGCTCACAATCAGGGACGTTTATTCTAAAATGATTTAAGGATTGCAAGAAACTAAACAAAAATAACTTAAATATCATTACTTCTAATAGGGAATTGTAGATCATATAGTGAATAGATAGTGAAATAGTAATACAATCTATTATTATGAAGAAGAAATTATTTTTCATTATTTTATATATGTATAACGCAAATTATTGTTTTAAGTTTAACAGAATCAAAGTTCTATATCTGGTACTTGTAAACTATTACATTAACATACAGACGGACTTTTCATAATCCCTATTAAAGTTAGGAGAGTTAAACGTTAAAGTTATTAATTAAATTTCGTTCCTCAACTCATTTAAGAGTTAATAATAATATTCCTTGACTTTTTAGTACTTTCACTCAAAAATTTAAGAAAGTTATTGAAAATATACTTGCAGAAAACGTATTTTAATAAAATTTTGTTAAAGAAAAATATTTTAAAATTATTTACAGTTAATAAAATTATTAATGAAATTATTATTAATAAAAATTGTATCTTAACTATATCTTATACTTGAGGCATTATCTAACTGCACACCAATCTTCTTCAGTTAGACTTCTACATGATTCCATCAATTTCTTAAAAATTCCGCTTCGTCAAAGTATATCAATGATATAAAAGGAGTTAATATTGTTATGGATGAGCTTGAAGTTTATCTATTAACTTCAACATAATTTATCGTCGTTGAAGTGGCGGCTTTATGCCCAAAGCCCACTTGAGCACAAATAATGGTCCGTTGTAGTACCACAGGATTAGCGTTGACAAAAAGTCAACGTATGAGCAACGCGTATAGACACGACTGTCCCCTTAGGTAAAGATGAATCCACATGGCAATTCTATAAACCTGGTTAAGTTCCTAATTTTACAGGATGACAGCACGATCAGGTCGGTAAAAACACATCAGAACACATATAAGAAAATATATTAGTGAATTAGTCAATTGATCAAAGTCGCAAATTTATCGTCTATATATTGAAATACAATTATATTCACTTTTAAATTTAAATTAAATACTTTAAAAGGCTTCAGATGTTCTTAATCCGTAAACAACTATGGTTTTATACTATTAAAAACCATAATCAAATGGGTTGATAATATGAGAACAGATGTTCTACAACCAGAGTAATTCATCTATGTTGAAGCTATTTGAGCTAATGCACTTTTACTCTTTCTTAACTCGAGGTATTTTCAAAACCCCTCTTTACACCTTGACTGGATTATTGTTTATAACTTCATCAGATTAAGCAATAATTGACTTCAGATCTGCATACCTCCCCGAGGACAGGCTCCTCTTGATTCGATATATTCTACATATATATTGTTTAAGAAATAGTGATATATATTTAAGTTGTATAGAATTGATTCTATATACTACTGTACTCATTTTGCAAATAAGAAGTGAATATTCGTAAATTTCAAAATGTGACGCCATTAGGCCTTTAACAAGCTTATCGATTTTTTTTTATTGATCAATTAAGTATTTAGCACAAAAGATCAATCATGGTCACGGTGCTCTGCCTGTTCTTTCTTATTATTCTTATTTAAAACATTTGAGAAATTCTATAATGAAGCCAGAACACTTTCTTCTATATTATTAAATAAAATCCTTACAACTGGCTTTTATTTTTCTTATTTATAGTATGTCCAGATATAGAAGGGAATAAAAGTGCTACATAACAGCCAGTGCAGTGAATCAATATTCATTATCCTCCCAGTTGGATTTTTCTTTTTCATTTTCTAGTTAAACATATGTTGCTCTTTTTAAATAGATCTACATGTTTTATTTCAGGATGAAGATGATAAACCAAAGTCTCATCTTTGTATAACAGTAAGACGATATAGAAAATTTTTTCCATACCTCTCATCAAATATTGCTGCAAAAGTCGAACTCTAATATATTTTTATTGCATTGATTCATTTGATTTTATTTTATTAAATTACCATACTAGTATATTTTTTAGAAATATTATATTACATTCTAGATAGTATTCCATTTTATTTACCTTTAATCACAGTTGGGAGTATTATTAATAACATAACTGAAAAGTAAATAAAAAAGAAAGCTTAAGAAAATCATCATTATCATTACATTATATTAAAAAAATTAAATGTAAATAAAATGGTATATTCAATAAATTAACTGGAATTTAATTCAGTTAATTGTTGCCTTTTCATTTCTATTCGAACCCTTTTAAGTTTTAAATAGTTTCTTTTCGTCATAAAACGCGTCACTTTCGACAAAAAAAAATTAATTTTATAAAATGGTATATATTTTTTATATATATAGTTTAACTATTATCTTAACTGTGACTGTGAGAAAATTATATAGTTGAATTAAATATTTATTAATTATATTAAATATTAATTTAATATTTATTATTATTATTATTACATTTTCGTAAAGTTAATTAATGTAATTAATAATAAAGACTATATGACAATTTATATATCAACAGCAACTATCAGCAATTTGAATCGGAGAAATATATAAAAAAGCAACCCATTATCATCGTCTTTGCAACAGTACGGATATAAGTATGGAAACTTTATTATAAACATTGTATTTTGCTTTGATGATGTTGGAAATATACTCAAAAATAAATCCGAAAAAATATCTATAGAAATAAATTCTAAAAATTTTAAATAAGACTCATAATACATTTCTAATTCTTAATTCATATTAATTCATAATAAAATCTTGATTCAAAAGAGTATCTAAGGAACCTAAGTAACTATCTAGCTTTATACTTTATGAAAAAAGTTATTAATCTTATTTATTAACGTTGACTGTTAATAAATAAATTTTTTTTTGTATACATTTCACTACTATATTCAAGAGTTATCCCGGTCCATAGAACTGGAAGGCTCAGAATATCGTTCAAGATGCGTCAATTACGTTTTAAATTAATAGTTCTTGGGTTAGTTTTTTTGTTCATCCTTTATTAATTCAAATAGAAATTATATGTATTGGTACCTGTATTCAGTTAAAGAATGCAATACTACATGTCATGTCAAAATATATGGTATAGCTGCTACCGTCGGGTTTTGGAAATTTGAAGTAATTGTTGCTTATTCTATATATTGTTTATAATTTATAATTATAATTTTAGTTTCAAAATTTCATCATCCGCGACTATACAGTCCATGTAGGACCTAAGCCTGTTTAACAACAGTCTTCCATTCTTTTCTGTTTCTTGCTTTTCTTTTCCAATTTCTTATATTCTTTACTTCTTTCCACCGTTTTCTTAGTCGCCCTCTTATTCTGCTGGTTTCTAAATTTAGTTATCAATTTACAATGCCGGCATATTAGGGAACCTTTAAACGATTATTATCGAAGTTGCGAATCAGAGAAGGATGAAGCAAATATTACTTCTTGGCTTTGCTACTGCTTGGCACTTGCCAAAAGATATCCATTTACTATCGTCTCCAATTTTTTCCAATATAACTAAAAGTCATTTAATATTTAAAACTTCCCACAATGGTTCCTCCTCTTAAGTCAGCCTGTCTTCCATAAGATCTATTGAATTTGTTTAAATTTTTATTATTTATTTTGCTTCTTATTTATATAAAATTTTTTTGAAATGTTTAATTTCTGATTTTTTTATGTAAATAAATCAATCTTTGATCCTTAGGATTATAAAAAAAGTTTAGAATAGAAAAAAATCAAACTATATAATTATTAATATTATATTCGAAATTGATCAGTATAAATATTATTATAGTTGATATAGGAATAACAGAACAAAGTAAAGAGTTTGTAAGTTTAAAATAAACTTTTGAATAATATAATATAAATATATAATAATATATAATATATGGTTAACTGTGCTGGATCAAGTCTGATAAAAAACTTAACTCTTGGATTGAATTATTTGGATTTTTAAAAATTTTAATATAGAAAATTTATCAAAAACGTTATAAAATATCGACAAAATACTTCGAGCTATCAGTTTTACAGGACTGGACTACATATCTGAGATTTCTGTTGAAATCCTAATAAAATTCGTTCATCCATACGCGCATCCTAAGTGATGCACATTATCCCTAAAAAGTTAAGACTCTGATCTGGTTTCCCAATGTACTTTAATGGTCTACGCGTGGCCTTTTTGATCTGCTAGCATGACCTACCATAAACTGCACTTTTAATGAACACCAGCGCTTTTAATGGTTTTATTTTATTCTATATATTGTAAGGGGTAATAATTTGGTTGACAATATGAATAAGTCTACTAGCACTCAGTTTTCGACATCCACAGATAGTGTGTTTAATTGTTTTATATCCATTTTATAAACAAGCTCTACTTTGAAAGACTTATTTTGTTCGCATGGTGACATGTACTGGGCCTCTAGTCAGAGGCCCGATAAAATTTTTATAATCTATATACTCAGTGCTAGAAATATATTTCAGATGCCTTGACTATGTTGATAAATCCCTTAACTTTTAGCTTATGCTTTGTTTTACTCAACATCTACAGTGACTAGAATTTAGTAAAATTTGTATTTTACTAATTTTTATTTTTATATTTTTTAATTTGATTTAATAATTTAATATTTAATTTAATTATTTTTAATTCTCAAAAATTTAGAAATTTCAATTTTTTTTATTTTGAAAAGACCAATTTTATCGAACTAGAAAAATTTGTATGTACCTATAGTGAAAAAAAAAAGAGTATGAAAAATTCTTGACAAAGTCCAGCCAGTGCAGATGCAAGATTATGAAAGGAGTAAATATTGAATAATGAATAACAGAAAAAAATTTTTTTTAATCCATGAATCTAAAAAGTGTTAACAATTAAAACTTAAATCTTGTTGTTGTTATTTACTATTATCTATTTATTAATTTATTTTATTGAAGATGACTTTTCTAATTGTAACTGCTATTAAGAATAATAACTAACTCACTATATTTGTAGCAGATTTGCTTGTAGCACATGCTCAAGGGCCCCAGCCAGGTCTCCAGGTCATAAACAATCGAAACAGAGCTTCGTTTCGCTAAATATTCTAAAAATGATTTTACCATAAATGTTCAAGTTGATCTATATACCACTTAGGAGAAAAAAAATATATCATAATCATAATTCTTCTCTTAATTGGTCATAACAAATCGTTATCGGATTTCGGCCTTACGCTGGCAGCGAGTTCTAATCCCAAGATTTTGAATTTGGATTGTCCACCGGATTTAGAACCCGTCACGTGAAATTTGCCGCTAGTGAAGATGTGATCTTTCTTTATATATATATTTGGAAGCTTTGAATCATTTTGTAAATTATTTTACTTAAAATTCAAATTTTTTGTTCAAGTATTTCAAGGATATTAACTTAAAATTTAATTTTGGAAATATTATCCAATTGACAGGCTTGTATTCTTTAAAGACAAAATCTTTAATTTAAGTATTCCATTTTTCATTTTTTTTGAAATTTATATCTGTAGGTGGAAAATCAGCAGATACATATGTAGGTCATTGTTTGGAACACACAAATAAATATTTAAAAATATGAATGAAGATGCTTTCATGACCAACATTTTATGGATTTTTCGCATATAAATATAAAACTTAATGTAATTTCTATTTTTAAGATTTTACATATTTTTTTTTTTTGTATTTGAAACTCATAAACCCATAAAACAATCTACTGACGTAAACATACTTCTGTCTAAATTATTCAGATCTTAAATTTTACAATTTTGAATGACCTTAATGTGATGCCTCCAAAGAGTAAAAAAAATGGAAAAGCGCTTGAAAACTATGCGACCTCAAATAATTACCATATGTCATAGCGAAATGAAGAAGATAAATGAAAATTGTGGAAATGGAAAATTTAATATGCAAAAAAAAAAAAAATATTGTGTGGGCCAAGTTTTGGGCAGAAGGCCAAAACGTTATACAAACGCAAATTATTAAACGAAAAACCGAAAACTAAAATTATTTTACAATAATTTTCGTGATCATATTAAAAATTATTGTCAAGTTAAGAGAAATAAATAAATATATAAAATAAAAATAAAATTTAAAAATATAAAAAGTTTTCAGTGTAAAAGTGCAAATATTTGTCCAAAATTAAAAGTAATTCCATTATGCAAATTGAATTAATTAATTAAATTAATTAATTAATTTTCCTTTTTTTTTGTGATTTTTTGTATTTATAGATGCATTCGCTAGCGGATCTGAAATTGGACCAAGTGAATCCGAATGTCGCCCTTACATTGAAAAGGCTATAAACGAGCTCAAAACAGGTGATCCAATAAAAAAATCTTTCTAAAAACTTATTTTTTTATAATAACTTATAATATGGAAGTGGAAATATATTAATCCAAAATTATAAAATATCTCTTGTGATATATCTACTAAGGATATTTAATACACAAAAAAAAAACAGAATAAAAAAACCACTTTGTAAAATTTTTACGGCTTTACTTTTCACAGGTCAGAGAGTTCTACTAATTGATTTTTTCACAGCAATCTGTCAAGTTGTCAATTTATGTTAATTTATATTATTTATTAATATTTAAATTGCTAAAAGCAATTTTTGTGAACACACATTTTAGTAATTGACAGGCAACTAGAGTGAAACTCTTATTACCGACAGGCATTCCAATAAGCGACTTATACTAGAGATACTCTTATATACTCATAAATATTTTTACTCTACTCAACGCTATATAGGCACAACGAATGATGACGATGATGGCATGCAATCTGATCAGCCGGCTGACGATCAACTGGAAACTGTGGAAATAGAGGATGTGGATTCGACTGAAGATAGAAAGAAATTACCTAAAGAACGTGATATCGACGAAGATGGCATACCAAATGAAGAAGATAGCGACATAGATGGCGATGTTATACCAAATGAACAAGACGAAGATATGGATGGAGATGGTATATTGAATATACACGATGAAGATATGGATGGCGATATAATACCGAATACAGAAGACTCTGATATGGATGGTGATGGTGTACCTAATGTCGAAGATCATGATCTTGATGGTGATGGTGTACCAAATACTGAGGATCATGATCTCGATGGTGATGGTGTACCAAATGTTGAAGATCACGATCTTGATGGTGATGGCGTACCAAATGTGCAGGATCATGACATAGATGGTGATGGTGTATCAAATGTCGATGATCATGATATCGATGGTGATGGTGTTTCAAATGTTGACGATCATGATATCGATGGTGATGGTGAAGCAAATGAGGAAGACACTGATATTGATGGAGATGGTGTACCAAATGTAGAAGATACTGATATTGATGGCGATGGTAAACGTAATGAAGATGATAAAGATATTGATGGTGACGGTTTGTTAAATGAAGAAGATAAGGATATCGATGGAGATGGTGTTTTAAATATTGATGATCATGATATTGATGGTGATGGTCAGCGCAATGAAGAAGATAAAGATATTGATGGTGACGGTCTTTTGAATGTTGAGGATCATGATATTGATGGTGATGGTGTACCTAATGTTGATGATCAAGATATCGATGGTGATGGTGACCCAAATGAGAAGGATACTGATTTAGATGGTGATGGTGTACCAAATCTTGAAGATAAGGATATTGATGGTGATGGTGTACCAAATTTAAATGATAATGATTTGGATGGTGATGGCATACCAAATGATGAAGATGATGATATGGATGGTGATGGAATACCGAATGATCAAGATGATGATATGGATGGTGATGGCATACCAAATGACCAAGATGATGATATGGATGGAGATGGTATACCAAACGTTGATGACGATGATATAGATGGTGATGGTATACCAAATGATCAAGATAATGATATTGATGGAGATGGTATACCTAATGATGAAGATGATGACATTGATGGCGATGGTATACCAAATGTTGATGACGATGATATAGATGGTGATGGTATACCAAATGATCAGGATGATGACATTGATGGTGATGGTATACCGAATAGTGAAGATAATGACATTGATGGTGATGGCATACCTAATGATCAAGATGACGATATTGACGGTGATGGTATACCGAACGTTGAGGATGATGATATAGATGGCGATGGTATACCCAATGATAAGGATGATGACATCGATGGAGATGGTATACCTAATGATGCTGATCATGATATTGATGGTGATGGAATACCGAATGACAAAGACCATGATATTGATGGTGATGGTATACCAAATCATAAGGATGACGACATGGATGGTGATGGCATACTTAACGAACACGAAAACGACACTGATGGTGATGGTATACCCAATGAAGATGATCATGACATTGATGGCGATGGAATTTCAAATGATGAAGATACAGACATTGATGGTGATGGCATACCTAACGATAAAGATCATGATGTCGATGGCGATGGCATGCCTAATGATGAAGAGCCAAAGAGTTTAGATATTGATGGAGATGGCATACTCAATGATAATGACAATGATATTGATGGCGACAGTAAATTAAATGAACATGACGATGACATGGATGGTGATGGTATTTTGAATGTACATGATCGTGACGTTGATGGTGATGGTGTGCCAAATATACACGATGATGACGATGATCATAAGGAAGAAGAAGAAGTTGTTAAACGCAAAAAGCGAGATGTCGGCGCTGAAGCAGCTCCAACAAGAGGTAAAGAAGGCGATATGGATGGTGATGGTATACCTGATCATGAAGATGACGACAAAGATGGAGATGGCATACCTGATCATAAGGATGATGATATTGATGGCGATGGTATACCTAACGATCAAGATGCTGATCGCGATGGAGATGGTATACCCAACGAACATGACAGTGACGATGGCGAAGAATCTGAAGAGGATACTAAACCAGAAGATGAATTACTTTGGGTAAACAATACACATCGGGTTTTCACAAATTTAAAAAAATATCAATAAAAATTTTTTTAATTATAGGAAGGCGAAATACCTGAAAACCTTCGTAGCCGTGAACATATTACAGAACTTTTGCAATTGAATGAAGAATTCAATGCTCGCGAAAAAGCTGTGGATAATGTTGCTGAAATAATTTTACGCGATATTAAGCGTATTTACGAAACTGCTATTAAACCTTTGGAGACGCTTTATAAATATCGCGATTTAAGTAATCGCCATTTCGGAGATCCAGAAATATTTTCGAAACCTTTAATTCTTTTCATGGGCCCATGGTCAGGTGGTAAATCATCAATTCTGAATTATTTAACCGACAATGAATATACATCCAACTCTTTGAGAACTGGTGGGTTTCAAAATATATAATTAAATTAAATTAAACTGTCTTATAATCAACATAATGCAGTGTATATTTGTAACATAAACTAAACATAATTAACTAACCTCGGCTCTCAATTTTTTTTAGGTGCTGAACCTTCACCAGCTTATTTCAATATACTTATGTGGGGCAATGAAACTGAAGTTCTGGATGGAACTCAGCTTGCCGCCGATTACACTTTCTCCGGTCTACAAAAGTTCGGTCAGGGACTTGAAGACCGTTTAAGAGGATTAAAGATGCCCAACAAATTGCTAGAAAAGGTAGTGTACTTATTTAAATATTCATTCTATTTATTTATTCATATGTAAATTAATTATAATATTATACAAAAATGCATCTTCGAAGTTTAAATATGTTAAACATTAAGGTTTCGCACAACTAATGATATTCCTATTAACTTGAGTAACCCGGAGCAGTTGTGACATGGCTGTAGAAGGCTAGCAACGGAAAAGTTTGTGGAAGAAGCAATTGAAGAATTGAATTTTCTCATTGCCACATAACAAAAAAGTCTTTGTGTACTCAACAGGAATTTGATACCGGCTGGACCAAGTACTGAGAATTTCTCGTGTGATATTGTGTGCTAGGTATTGTCTATCGTTCACGAGAGCATTGCATATTCCTAATGTGTTTTCTGATGATTATGGTTCTTCATGGAGTTTAATTGAATACTTATACTTCTAAGCTTTGAGCATATAGTGACGGGTCAATACTCAAATTTTAAATTTGTTCGCATATAGTTTCCTTATAGTATTTTGAATTGCCACACATCTACACTAACAGTTCCTGCCTCTTCTGTCTTTATTGATACCTTAGCATTCCGTACACCTATACTACACCTATACTACACCTATACTACCTATACTACCTATACTACAATAAGGTTAAGGCCCTAAAATTGCCGAAGTGGTTCATTTTTCTTTCAGTTTATCGGCTTTCTCATTTTCTAGGAGCTCTGTATGTTCAGGAACCTAACGACTGACGTTGTTGTCTCTGTCATACCAATTTATTATTTGAATACAGTTCCATCCTAACTAAGAGCCAATCTTGGAAGTAGTTAATGTTTGAATAGCACCTTGATTATCCGATAGTATACCTATGTATTTTTAACCATTGCAGAGATTATATTCTACATATCTTCTGAGGGCAAGAATGCTGATATATATTCCTATGCATTGTGCTTATCTAAATATATTAAGAATATGCTACTCTATTACTCTTTTATACTGAAACTCAAATCAAATCGTTTCTTAAAATAAAAATCTCATCAGTTGTGTTCTGTAGGCAATCTAACAGGGTGTTGTTAGATTGGTTTCCTAAGTTCTCTAATTCTTTCGAAATTCTAGCCGTTGTTTTGTTTCCTCTAATCGTTATAATATTTGATATAGCTACAAGTATTGGATTGATACTTTTTGTATGTGCAGTGGTGACAAATTTACCCATACCTCCAGCACTACTGTGCTCTATTTAAAGACAAGGAGTTACTATATACAACATTATTTTTTTAATGAAAATTAAGTATTTCATATTAAATCAATATATTTTATAAAGATTAACTATAGAAAATTCATACTCACTTTGGATAATTACTTTACTTAACATGTATGCTCATGTCCTACTTTTCATATCTACTTTCAGGTCAATATTGTTGAAATTCCCGGTATACTTGAGGTGCGCAAGCAAGTATCTCGTTTGTTCCCTTTCAACGATGCTTGTCAGTGGTTTATTGATCGCGCCGATATTATCTTCTTAGTTTATGATCCAGCTAAATTAGATGTTGGACCCGAAACTGAAGCAATTTTAGATCAACTTAAAGGTCGTGAATACCAAACACGTATAGTTCTAAATAAGGCTGATACTGTAAAGCCTGAAGAATTATTGCGTGTTCAGAGTGCTCTTATTTGGAATATTTCGCCACTTATGTCTTCAGCACAGCCACCGCTGATGTATACAACATCACTGTGGTCTCATCCATACCAGGAAGGCGCACCGGCACGTTTACTTTTAGCACAAGAGCGTGCATTTTTGAGAGATTTGCGTACTGCTGTCGATAAGAGGATCGAGCATAAAATTGCTAGTGCACGTCGTTTTGCAGTAAGTAAATTCATTTACAATATATATATTTATTATATATTATAAATTATTTTTACTATAAAAGATTTAATTTTTTTTTTGTTTTTTGTATTATTTTAGGTGCGCGTTCGCAATCATGCTAAAATGGTTGATTGTTATCTTAACACTTTCTACAACCATAAGACCCTTTTCGGCAACAAAAGGCGTATCGCCGATGATATTATAGATCATCCGCAAAATTATCATATTTATGAGGGTCTTTCAACACTTACAAATATATCACGTTATGACTTACCAGATCCTGAAGTGTATCGTGATTTCTTCCGTTTAAATCCATTATTTGAATTTAAGAAGTTATCCGAAACGTGCACTTACTTCCGAGGCTGTCCAATTACAAAATTGGACGTGGCCATTGCTTATGATTTACCTGAATTAGCCGGTAAATATAAGAAAATGTCCGAAGCTGCATTAACGAACATTGAAGCCAAAGAGGAAGTTGGTGACACGACACAAACCGGGACTGAGAGTTCAACAAAAAAGACTAAAAGTTGAGTGCAAAATTTAACAAAATTTTGCTCATTTTTAATTTAAATAAAAAAATAGTTTTGTTTCATAAGAGAAAGAGAGAGGGACAAAATGAAGCGTTCTCAAATGCAACTACATATAATACAAACAACAAACAATAGAGAGAGAGCAATAAAACATTATTTTTAAGAATATTTAAATGCACGTTCTTTAGGAATTTAATAATATTTTGCAAATCAAAAGCACTTAATCAATATTTAGAGGAATAATCAATGTAAACCTATAAAAGGCTTAAAATATAGAAAGAGAGAGAATTTAATAGAGAGCAATTATAAAAATTTTAGGAACTCTTATAGTTTTTAAAAGCAGTTATTGTATTATTTCCTAATTTTGGGAAATTTTTTCTCTCTCCATGTGAATTCAATAGAAATGGAGAGAGACACTGCTTTCAATAAAATATTCCTTAAATATGTTTAATACAACAACACTAATAAAGAGATTAAAAATAGAGAGAAAGAGAGCGACTTTTTACAGTTACGCTTAAATTATTTATTTGAGAAAATCCCAGAGCTTCACAGAAAAGGCACAGAAGTTATTGAAATCTTAGGAAATTCAAAATTCTCAGAAGTCTATCCCTTGCACGATGTAAGAATTTAAGGCATTTATTTAATTTTTAATTAACTTAAAATTATTGTTGTTAAACTTTATGTAAATGTCCAATCCAATCCGTGTTCCTGTGCTGTAAAGATAAATTTTGTTCAGAAATGTTTTTTTTCTTTTTTGTTAATTCTAGCGTACCACAAGACACTGTATTTCTTCATTAAAGTAAATTCTTAATTTTAAACTGGTTGCATTGTAAGTTTAGACTCCGTCATAGTTAATAAGTTATAATCTTTTTTAATAAAAATAACAGTGGAGACGTCGCGAAATCGTTAAAGTTTTCAATAATTTAAATCATTTTGCAGTTTAGATAAATGAAATTTTGAAAATATTATTTTTTTATTTAGTTATTATTTGCAAAGCCAAACAAAAATGTGGTTCAAGTCAACTGCGATTGATCATTTTAATTTAAATAAAAAACTACAAAAACACAATTCAGTTTTAAATTATTTTTGCAAAAGAAGAAGAAAGTATGACGAACTTGCCAAATCTGTAAGTATAATCCAGTGTCATCACAAACCCCTGGGGTATAGGGTATGGGGTTTACTATTTCAAAGCCTCTCTAAAAAAAATTTGGTCCATCTTACCATATATTGTTGATATACTTGTCCATCTTATATTGCTTATATACTTGATTCTTTTTATTCAAATATTTTCATATAACCTTTAAATTAGTCCACGCCTCTGATAATTACACTGTGTGAGAAAAAATAAAAATTGCTAACTTGGGTGTACTGTTTAAATTGACAGCCTGCTTTTCTTTTAAACATTCGGGTCTTCGGCTATACGGCCTAAAGTTCGTAAATTGACATTTTAAAAGGTTCTTATTTTTAGATCATACATCTATACATTAATATAGATCTATATATATGTATATCTATATATCTATCTATGTATAAACATTTTTGACCTTACCACCTATTCTCAAATTCTCTTTTACTGACAATATGGTGTTAAATATTTGAGCAAACGTCCTCATATCTAGAGGAAGTGATGAAGGTTAAATATGGTAGTTAGAGTTTAAAGTTAATTAGATTGGTTTATTAATTAGATTAGATTAGTTGATTAGATTAGAGTTGACGGTGTTGACTAGTTTTATTACCTGATCATATATGTACATTGCTTAGTTTTCTATTCCGGGATCTATATAGAAGTTTCTCAACGGATGTAGCGCTTAAAATTGGCATTGACCACGTGTATTACTGTTCATAAGGGACTATTTATAAGCGGGTGGAGGTGCGAAAATGTTTGTATAACTTTAAATTTGTGGTTTGGATGGGTATGAGGTTTTTTCATAGCTTAAAAGGAAGTAGTTTCTTCTTATCCATTTCAAAAGAAAAGGAGATATAGAGAAAGTTATGCTGCAGCAAATTATCAGGGCTATCACAATCGTAGTCACGTATAGGAACTATAAACCTAAAACGTATATAAGGATTAAATGTAATCAAATAAAAATAACTCAAGAGATATTACATATAGTTAGCCATATAGTTCTTCCGGTATGATGATGAGAAAAGTTTGCTTTATTTTTAAGCGTTTGTTAATGATTTCACATACCACGAACTTCGTTTCGGGAACAAGCTTAGAGAAAAAACAATTAGAAATTTAATACAAATGCACACTTTTCCATTTTTGTGTTTTCATAATAGTGAAATAAAGTGACCGAGATATATACAAAGATGATTGGACAAAACCAATTAAAGAAAATAATATCTGATGAATATATCAAATAAAATGTTATAAGAATGTAGGATGTTATACTTAAGTAATAGTATGATAGTTAACTTATTTTTGGATTGGTAGAAAACTACATTTAAGAAACACCTAAAAATTATGTAAAAGCAAGTAGATTATATATATCATATATTAATTGAAAACCTGTCCTACTGCCAGAACATTCTTCTACTGTTAATTTCAAGAAATATACATTATTACAAAAAACATGCTTTTAGAGAAGATAATGCGAATTTACTGCTAATATAATTTAAAATAGTGAAATCATTGTGAGAGAAGAGTCTGAGAATGATTATAGAAAGGAACCGTATATATTGGCGAGTTTGACCGGTATGTGTAAAATTTCTCAAGTCATACATTTTCTGTAAAACGTATCCGGATGCAGCGACGCCGACATAATGTCGACATGGTGTATTTGCAAGGATAATAATCTGTAATAAGTTGTTGGATAATAAACTCCCCAAGTAGTTTCTTCATTTAAACGAACTATGTTTGGAATCCTTTTAAACATTGAAACTCCAGCGGAAGCTGTTAAGAGCATTTGGTCGTGTAATGCAAGACCTAGAGATGACCGCTCTAATTCTATAATAAGCATATTTCACATTACTTAACAACTATACTCAAGTTCATACTATGTGCGGCCAAACGGATCAAGTTTAGCTTATCTCTTTCGACAGTACTTTCAAGGCTTTAAGAAATTTTCTAGCAACAGAACAAAATTAATTCAAATTCTTTAAGTTTTCTGTTGGATTTTTTAATAAATTTTTGCCGAACTTTAGAAAAGTTCTATTTTCAATTGTTAATTAAATGAACACAAAAACTGATCATATATAAATACAAATTTATAACTATTTTATATAAAAATTAATGTCAAATTATAATAATTGATGATAAGGAAACATTTATGATACCGCTTCAATTGTTTCAGCATTTTTCGATATTTCATTTATATTTATTTTTTCCTTTATGTTGTCTATAGATTGCTTTACATTTTTATTATCCACTACATTAGTCACTTCTGCATTTTTCTGTTCAGTGCTCTCCTCCACACTTTCGTTTAGTTGTGTATTCTGCTCCATAAAATCAATAGTAGCAAGTTTTTCCTCATATTGTGTTTGGGTTAACAAACCTTCCTTAATTTCATCACAGTGTTCGGGTTTAGGTAACACAATAGCAAGATAATCTTCACCTTCCTTAGCAGTACTAAAGAGGCTTGGATTGTTTACTAAATTAGTATTAACTTCAATGAGTTTGCTACGAACGCAACTCGGAATTTTATACGTTTTTCCCGTAACTGTTGTTAGTAAGGCTAAAGTTGAATCCGCTTGCAGAACCATACCACCCTTCTTGCCTTTACCCTTGACACTATTTTTACTACGATTTATATTACCAATGTCAAAATTTATTGAGCTGATGCCTTCTTTCAAAGCAGGATGTTCAGGTGCTAAGCATATAAGGCATACACGATTAGAATGAAATAATACTTTATATGGCGTTGGATTTGCACCACTCTTTATGTAGTAGTAACGTGTAAAAAAGCGATCCACTAAGGATGGATGATCTTCTACGTAGTCATCGACTATTGATGGAACTTCTACACCGCATATTAATTCAGGTTCATGGACATAATAGTATTGCTCAAGGGATTTGTTTGGCGTTTCAATTTCTGTAGACATTTTTTAAATATTGTTTACTTCTTTTTATAATAAATCTTATGTAGATGTATCCGCTTGCATACGCTCGTGTATTTCCTGTAGTTTTATTTTTGATTTGGCTCGATTGGCTGCTGAACGCGCTATACGCTCCTGTTTAAGACACTTATTTAAAGCTGTGTCAAGCGAATTGCAAATACCAAGAAATTTAGTTAATTTATTCTGTGGAAAAAAAAACGATTATATAAACTGTTTGATACAATTTATTTTCTTAATATTTACCTCTTCGCGGCAATTTAGTAACTCTTGTACAAGTTGGTTGCATTCAGGTGTATGTAAATGTGGTGACAAGTCTGGGTGCATTTTTTAAGTAAAAAAGTAAAATCTTTTTTAATTTTTATATAAACGCGCTATTACTTATCATTTATCTCTTGAACACCAACAAATTCCAAACAAAACCACAATAAACCAAATGTAAGAACCTGACGTCTCGGCAGCCCACGCGTTGCCAACTAACTTTATTTTAATACTGAACATATCACGTGTGACAGAGAATATTTACTTAAACGCAACTCGTTGATAGATTTTTGGAATTGTTTTTATAAAAAAAATGGTTTTTGCTAAGACCTAAAAATTTAAACATTGAGGTTCCAATAAAAATAATACTAATTGACCCGCTAATTAGGAAAATAAATTACACTTAGTTAAGTGTCACATACAAAATTGTGTAAGGTATTTAGTCTAAATAACACAATTATTAAAGTATATTAATCAGGGTTTGAAATTGCTTGACAATTTTCAAGTAATTATTTTTAACTACGAAAATAAAATACGCAAAATCCAAATCCAACAACAAGGCTTAAATTCGCATTTCTAAAATATAGATTTAGTGGGTTCAAGTTTTAACACTGACTTTCGATGCTTTGCATCTATCGGAAAGAAAAACACTGAGGTTAATGGCACTTATTCTAATATTGCAATAAAGCTGCAACAATAATTGCGTTTCATTTATTATAATTTATATAATTAATATTATTTAATGATATAAATATCATTAATTGAATTTGAAATTTTTTAAATAAAAATTTTTAATTATGGATATTATGTTGGTTGTAAACTTATAACACCGTTATGGCGTTGTTGTATATCGCTCTACTAATTTTTAAATTCTATTATCCATGTCTTCTTAGTATTCTTTGATAGGTACAAGAGTCTAAAAAGTCTACTTTGAGCAAATAATTATGATATATATATTATAGTAGGCGTTAATATTTTTAAATAATTTACAAAAAAATTTTTAATTTTAAATATATTAGATTCTATTATCCATATCTTCTTAGTATTCTTTGATGGGTACAAGAGTCTAAAAAGTCTACTTTGAGCAAATAATTATGATATAAATATTATAGTAGGCGTTAATATTTTTAAATAATTTACAAAAAAATTTAATTTTAAATATTTTAAATTCTGTTATCCATGTCTTCTTCGTATTCTTTGATAGATATAAATGTCTCAAGATATTTACTTTCAACAAATAATTATTTTATAAATATTATAGTAGGCGTTAATATTTGAAATAATTTATAAAAAATTTATATAGCAAAATATGAACATAAATTTTTTTTTATTCTGAAAAACTGTTTCAGTTTTACTCTCTGCACAACTGAGCGGCATTTATTAACCACACGTGTCGACTGACAGCTGTCAATAACCAAAACATTTGCACCAACGAAATCAACAAAAGGGTTCCGGTCTTTTGTGTGTTGAAAGTGGTTTTAATATGTCTGCACCTAAGCGTAAGGCCACCGCACTGGAGCTATTGGAAGAGCCCAGTTCCAGTTCAGATGTTGAGGAGGACGTTGGTATAACTTATGATGAAAACGATGAAGAGGGGAGTGAGGAAATGGTAAGTCAAAATGTAAACAAAATAAATGCGATACTAACAAAGGATGAATTAATAAAGGTTGACTTTGAGGGACGTGCAGCTTATGATTCAGATTGCCATGGTATTACAATGCTATTGCAACGGGCCTATGTAAATGTGGATATCAATTTAATGGAACTCGCTGATTTGATCATTTGTATTTTGATTAAATTTAAAAACTTTCTTCCGCTACATCATTTTTATTTTTGCAGCGCAAAATTATGTGGGCTCTGTTCTGATGCAAGCTTCCCAGGACGATGAAGAGGAGAATGAAACAATCTTTGGTGTTACCACAGTAATTAACATTTCCAAAAAGAAAGATAAAAAATGCGTACAGGATTTGCGTAGCCACATCCTTTCATGTGCCAAGAATAATGCAACACCTGAAATGGCTAGCAAATTCGAAGCAATTCTGAAGAATGATAAGCTAAATGTGGGTTACATTCTTAATGAACGCTTTGTCAATATACCATGTGCAATATCCGTGCCAAGCTTTGAAAATCTACTGCAGGAGATAAACGATGCAGCTGCAAAAGGAATGCCATTCAAATTTGACTACATGGTGATTATTATTAAGTATTTCATGGTTGACGGTGCTGGTGACAATGAGAAGGAGAAGATACTAGTCAATGAAGAAGAAAACTTGTTTGAGGAAATAGCATCTGATGTATTTCACTTTAAGCTTACTAGTGCCGCCCCGGCTGATGAAGCTGTTGGTGGTGAGTCTCAAAATTCTGGTGCAGTTATCGAACGTATGGTTTGCTTGTTAGAGGCCAAGCGTTTCTATGAGGCGGTGAAGAAGTTAGATCATTTCGTTAACGGTCCAAAACCTGTTTGAAATTTGTTATTCATTTTGTTTCAATTTTATTTTTTGCTTTCTTATTTTATTTACAGTTGCTACTATAGTTTTATTAAGTATTTTATTTTTGAAAATTTTTTGCGTATATGACTTAAGAATGTGGACATTTTTTGTACAGATTAATTGTATATAAAATAAATTGTTAGTAGTATTTTTTTACAAAATAAAAATATCTTTTAGGCAAAAAGATAAATTTATGTTTTAGTTTTACATATGATTGATGTCAACTTATTTCTTAATAAATAGACAAGAATAGGCAATATTTAATTAAGGAAAAGACGTACACACCGATTAATGTTTCGCCTCGTGTAGTCCATGCAGGATAATCTGCTATCAGGTCCCAGCGGACTAAAGAACAACAATCCAAGGACGGCCAGATATACGTTCCGGAAACACTCGTCGCCAGCGACGACATAGTGGCGTTCGACACCCCTCACAAGAACTTCACAAGCAGGTCCCAGCGGGTTACAAAAACAATATTATTGTTTTGCAAAGAAGTGATATAAACTCTATATTATACCTTGTTGTAGTGGTCTTGTTAATCCTGATTAGGGTTTAAGTAAAGTTATAAGCTAAAATAATTGTAGTGGAAGAAAAAAGAAGATGAAATAAAACATAGGGACTTTTAAAAGGGGTTGTTGTTAATGGACTGACAGTTCTTCTCATGAAACTTTTAGAAATATCAAATGAAGCTTTGGAAGTCAGCCTCATACAATAATATTAGGTATACAAGGATGTACATGATTTCGATGAACAGAATGGCTGAAGTCAGCAACAAAATTGGGTTATTACATAAAAAAAATATAGCCAATGACTGTGATTGTAGGAGTCAAACGTTCACAATTTTATCGATTAATGAAGATTAAGTTGAATGAAGTAAATTGAAATATGGCGCAGGTGAAAATACTATAATAAGCAAAAATGTTAAATCCTTCGATGTTTTACAAAATTTTAAGTACAAAGATGAAGACCGTGATTAAAAGGAGCTAAAAACTTTATAACTTTGCACTAAGAATAAGTGCTTAACCCTTCGTTGCTTAATAAGATCTTAATTAACAACCATTACAATACGGTTCAATCATATAGCCCAAATCTCCGTGTCTGACAAAAATTAAAGGTAAAAAATAATCTGTTTCTATACAATTCTAAGAAATTGATTATCATTACCGCCAGATAAAAATTATAAGGGTATCGTAGTCCGACAAGGTCCGCACAAACTTGAAGGAATTTTGATATGGTCTTTAGGGTTTATCTTTTCTTAGTGGGCGAATAAATTATGTTCTTGAGCTTTAGTATATATATTGAAGCTATTTTATGTACTATCACGCCTTCATTTTTTAAATTGAGAATTGCGTCTCTTATTATAATACATAAGTGATGTGCTTTATCGATCCATTCACAATGTTTAGAACAATTATTAGTAAATAGTATGCTTAGGTCTGACTTTTGATAAAGAATGTGGGATTCCGTATACTACATAGCACATACCTTCCTTCCAAACAAGGAACGTAATCCGTACATAAATTTTGAATCAGTTTCAAACTTTCTTCAAAAGCAAAAATCTCTATGGATGCGTCGTTTTTAGTAAGGCTGCTTAATTAAATTTTGTGGAACTGCATGAATTTGAATATATAACCTTAAGGAAGATATCTAAGACTCCTTGGTGTGCCAGAAACTCTGATATTCATAGAGATCTTCCTATTGAAACCATCATCAAGTAGATAAATGTTAAAGTATCCAGACTATATAAAATAGATAGTTATTCCAAAAGTTCTTCAGTTGCGCTTAATATAGATTGTCAGGATTTATCAATGTGAATAAAACAAGGCGCACCTAGAAATAAACGGGGTACTAGCTCCCCACGGAGCGGAGCACTGCGATCAGATTTATCTTTTGTGCACACCTAACGGAACAAGTAAAAATGTAAAGGAGCAGAAAAGTCAAGGAATATCATTAATCTTCAAATACAGCTTCAACAGGAGTAATATCAGTTTATTAAAATCTTTGGCGTCAGAGATATCATCATGTGGCTTCTTAACATATTCATATTCATTACCTATAGAGAGGTTTCGAACAGTAGTGAACTGCAACAACAAAATTTTTGGTTATTTTAATTATTTGAATTTTTAGCTGACCACACAGCTGTTTAGAGTATTATCAATTGTTGTCTATCCAGTTCTGAATTATTAGTGTAAATCAGGTGCGAATCACCTCTGCCTGTGTGAAAAAACATAACAATTAGCCATCAGACGAACGTTTTGCTTTGTTAATAATAGTATCTACACATTATGGTTAATTCAGTATAGGATGACCATTATGGGTTATATAAAGAATGTAATGGTTCTAATGGGTTAAAAACGGTGCATACGCTGCATAAATGGATAACTGTTTGGAATCAGCTATTAAAATCTGCAAAATGTCTTATTAAAGCATAATTGTAAATTTTCGAAATTCTTATCGTAATGCTCTTCGCAGTGTTTTTCGTAATCCTACAGAGGAAATCAGACTAGCGAAAAGTAACAAATGAATTCAAAGCAATAAATTGTTTATAGAAAAGAAAAATAATTGACAATTTCTTTTACAAATTCGAAGTTCGTAGTTCGTACACCTACAAAAATTTCATGTCAGCAGCGTAACACTAGAAATATGTAGCCCATTACTAGAAGTATATATATATTTAGCACACTGCTTAGATTCTACACATCATTTCAAAGTTATCGATGTCACTAGGTAAAAAAAGCAATAACTACAATACCAACAAATGCAAATTTAACACGATGAATCAGATATAAGGGGTCTAGTCAACTAATGAACAACGATAATCACAAGTGATGTTCTATGATATGGTAGATACAAATTACATCAAATATTCAAATATATGATTAATTGACAACAGCTATACTTACAATACTATACAATGAACAATAATATTTTCTTAAAGTATTAAGTAGAAAAGTAATTATGGGTAATATTGAAGACTAGGCTTAGAATAAGCATGTTACTCGTATTGCAATAACTACTAGAAACCAATAGTCCACATGTAGCGAAAGCTGCACTAACTTTATTTTCATTTATAAAAGCGCCAGCTTTCAGATCATGAAGTAATGTAGCATACATAATATAAACAAATACATCCGCTACTCATTTCGTGTGTGGTCCACTTGCGAAAAGTGTTATTCACTTATTCTTAAGCCACACTATATACGCAACAGCGTTAATTGCTGATTTTGCAATAATGACTTCAAGCACTTTGAGCTGTTTGTGTATGCTGCGTCGCTCTTAGAGACAGGAGCATTCGATGGAATACATTAGTCAATAATCAATCAATGCGTATTATTTTCATTACACTTATCTATTTTTCAAGCGGAAACCAATTATACGTATTCACAAAATTTCTTTAGAAATTCGATGGTTTCAGAGATTAGCTTGTACGAATACAGTGACATGAGATTTTTATAAAAAATCTTTTATTTAAAAGATTTTAGACTAATTAAGTTTTAAGCATTATCATAAATAAAACAATGAAATTTTTTTTATTATTTTATTATTGTTTTATTACATATTATCACCCGACATGTAGTTGATATTTTCGAACATCTATTAAAATAAATTATTAATTAATTATTATTTATTTTTTTATTTTTATCAATATCTATTTATATAGTATTTTTTCAAATTGTTTTATTTCATATTATTACCCGATGTTAAATTCATATCTTCCAACATCTATGGATATAAATTATTAATTAATTAATTATTTATTTATTTTTATTATGTATTATTTTTTCAAATTGTTTTATTTTATAATATAACCCGACATTTAGTTGATATTTTCGAACAACTATGTAAATAAATTATTAATTAATTATTATTTAATTTTTTATTTCCATCAATATTTATTTATTTATGTATTATTTTTTAAAATTCTTTTATTTTATATTTTTATATCTTCCAAAATTTATGAAAAATAAATTATTATAATTTCTTCTTTTCTTCTTCAACTTTACAATGATACTAATCACTGTATACCAAAACAATTATCAGATCAGTTGCTTTGCTAGTTCATTAATTAGGTTATTCGGTAACTGCGCACGTAACTTGATCAGGTACCGAATACCAAAAGTTAACATCACTAGTATTAGATTTTCCTTTGCGTGTTAATATCGCAAAAACAAAAAACAAAATCTCACTGCGCAAAACAGCTGATTTTGACGCGGACAACACGTCGAGAGCGTGATAGCCGCTAAAACTTAATAAAAACATCAGACTTTGGATGCATTGCAAGTATTTTTCTGCATAATTATATTATTACTCATTGTGTGTGCATGAGCAAAATTAACTGCAAATATTGGAGAAAACAAAAGAAAAACAACAACAAACAATTTGATAAGACGGAATAAAGTTAAACAATTTATACAAGTGTGGCGCGGATATATAAGCGGAGAGCTGTAGCTTTGTTGCACTTATCGGTAATCGGGTTTGCGACTTTTAAAACTCGTTTGGTCGAAAAGAAATTCAGTTGCCTTCCGACCGGCATCGAGTATTGGTAGAATTTTTATTTGTGATCTCAAGTGCTTGTTTTTGATTTAAACACAAAAAAAAAAAACGAATATTCTGACTTCAGTGATATTGCAAAAAACAACAACTCAAAAATGGGACTTGATAAGTAAGAATTTATTTTTTATTTTAAAATTTTAATTACAATGAGTTTTACATGCACTCACTCCCTCCTTTTCAATTTTAATGTTACTTTTTTGTTGAGTTTACTGTTTGAAATTTCTAATTAGAATTTATATTGAATGATGAAATTGAGTTAAACAGAATTATAAATTCTAATTGGAATTTTTCTTGGCGTCTGTATTTGAATGAGAAAAAATTATTTAAAAAATAATAAATTTTTTTTTATTATTTTTTTATTACTTTTATTTATTAGTTAAAATTTGTTATTAAAAAAAAATAATGAGAGTTGAGATAATTAATTTCTATAAAGACTGTGAAATTGTTTTTCGAATTTCAACTGTAATTTTTTATTACAAATTTTCTTTAAATTTATATTTCTTAGCGGTAAAATCTGTTCGTTTTTTTTAAATAAAATAAAATAATTTAAATAAAATAAAAACTATAAGTTACTGACTTATTAAAGATTTATTTAATTAAACATTAAATATATATATACATGTTTTAAAAAAAAGTAGTAGAGAATTTAACGGCTAATTTGAGTTCAGTGGACCTTGCGATTCACTTATCTCAATATTATGTGCCAAGCTTCATTTAGATAATATAAATAAGATAATTACCTTAAGAAAATAATTAAAAATGTTTAACTGTTTAATAAAAGAGGTTTTGTGATATTTAATATGATAAGAAAATTAATTCTGGGTACTATTAGTAACATCAGTTACTAGTTATTACTCTAGATAAATTCGAAGATCTAATGGATATAATTATAGTTACCATTATATGTATGTATATTATACATATAATATACATGTTTTATATATTATATATATATAATGCATATACATATTATATATATTGTATTATATCTTATATTATATGTATATTATATATATATTATATATATTTTGCCCAGTTGTCTCCCGTTATAATATTATTATATCGCTACTACATTAGGGGCTAAGGGTTTCAAAAACTTCTTTATCAACAGTTTATATTTCTGATCAGTGGTTTCATGTCGTTAAACGATTTGAATCTTTTGAAAGTGTCTTGATTTTAAAAGTGAATGACTTCAAGATCATAAATATCCATATTTTTAATGTGAACTCGGGAATTCGGGCTTTTAACGTTTTTCATTTATAGAAAATATTTTTTAAATGATCGCAATTATAATGGATATGATTTTGGCTGTTATTTGAATAGCAATCTATGTCATATTCCTGTTGTATTTTCTCATAATAGATCATATAAGTTATGTATTTACAGCGTTTTGTGTGGATAGTTATTTTGAACTTCCATTGTATGATAATATATTATACTTAAACTTCATTAGGGGCTTAGGGTTTCTAAAATTTGTCTCAGTTCATGAAATTGATACTAAACTACTTAGCTTAATAGTTATTTGAGCGTTTATAGCTCAAACTGCGGAACTGACTGATATGTTCGTCTGCCAGAAAATTTTAACCATTTCTTCTTTTGTAATTTTTTTTAGCAAAAGTTTTTACCATTTTTCTTTTTTGTTTTTGTTGCTAGTCAAAATCTTTAATCTTATTGTACTCTCTCCAGTAGTATTTTTCCAATTTTATATCTTAACTTGTGTTATATCTAAATTGTACTTTACATGAAATCATATTTGTATATGGGTCTCCTAGTACGCCTTTCTTTGTCATATTACTGTAACGAAAACAGCAAATATGTAAGGCAGTAAACCTGTTTTCTAAGTTCCTGTTGAAAGTGCTGAGCTGCGCTTGGTTGTCTAAGATGTAGAGCTCCGGTAAGTTGTGGCTGTTGTTGTAGCCAAATGCCGACCTAAAAGAAAGTACACATAAGGTTCACGAAGCATTGCACAATGGGATAGGATGACGGAAGTGATACACAGTAAAGTATGAGTACGGATAAGGTAGGGATGTTGCATCTAACCTCGGTCCATGTACAAGAATTTTATAGCTTCACTCTGTTGTGGTGGAGCCTTTAGATTGGATAGTATACTAAGAAATATTTTTGTTGGTAGTGCTTTTGAGGCTCATTAAATTAAATTATAATTTATATTATATATCCAAGACGATAAGAAAAGAACCCATGAAAACGCGACTGGTTTATTTAGTCTTGGCCATATTGCCATCTAAATGTTTTTCATATATAGGTAAGATAAATTTATATGTACTGAATAGCTTGTAGATACCTAGGAAGTATCTGATTTGTGATATTCATATATCTTTAATATATTTAAAACAGATATAATTTTTTTTTCAAAATATAATAATATGTCTTATGTACTAGCTATTGGGTATGTGCTTGACTGCAGATTTAAAATTATATTGGAAATATTTTTTTTCTAATAATGTCATCCTTTAGTTCGAAATGTTGTGTTTAATAAAAAAAAAATTTAATTCAATTAAAAATAATAAAAATTACATAAGAATAGATTCCAGTGAACTTCCGTGCTAAAATTCAATGTCACAATTTGCTCCGATGAATGCAAATAAATTAAATTAAATTGAATGTTTTGACTTCATAAATTTGCAATTGCGTTGAAGATGCAATTTTAAATCTACATGCCAAAGCGAAGCCGGAAAAATTTTTACTAAGATGAGAACTAACTTTAAAAATAAGTCTACTTAAATTCGTTTTATATTTCTTAATAAATTTTAATAATCTAATATTTATTAGCTATCAACTATTTATACTATTAGATTAACTATTAGGTACATTGGAGATTTGAACAGATCTACTATTTTTTAGAATTCTAAGGCCTATCTATCACATTAGGATTAAGCTATAATAAAAACATTTGATATATGCCAATTACACTAAAATAAATATATTTCTTTGAATACACATTTTTTTATTTAATAACTGATAGTTCAAAATATATTTTGTATATTTATAAAGTACATATAATATAGAAAGAAATCAGATAAAAATATCTAAAGATAAAAGAATCATCTTATCCAAGTTTATATATGCTAATTTAATGACTCCTAAGCGTCATTCTTGAAGTGAAAATGCATGGCTATATTCTAAATTGTAGATACATGTCAATAAGAAAATCTTTATGTATATTATATATACTTTCTTTTATACTTGATAACATTAATCAGTTGTTTTGCAATTGTATTTAAAAATATGAATTTATTGCAAGATAAAGCTATCAAGCCAGCAACAGAACTGCCTTTGAAGCATATTCTGCATGTAAAGATAAGACTTACTAGAACACTTCTTTCTAATCTTAATAATAATAAACAATCTAAAATTATCGTAGGTAAACCCGAACTGTTGTTGAATTGATCCTCAGATAACGATAAACTCTTTTATGAAATACAAACCAGAAGAGCTTTTGATATAAAATTACGAAATATTTAATTTATAACATATTTTTGTACTTACTATGAGTGGTATATATAGTGCAATATATATCAGATTTCAGATAATGACGTATCTGCAGTTTTCAATGAGTGATGAAATACGTGGAAAAGTGACTGGGTGGTAGATTAGTTATTTATAGTATTTGATAGAAATATCTGAAAGAAAATTGTTATAGTGAGGTGTGGGTCACCTATATTATGATCATAATTACTACACAACAAACCTTATGAGTTTGATTTTATGTAAATAATTATAATTAATGCAAGATAATATGTGTATATAAATATATGTATATATATATATATGATATATTTTATATCTCAATAATTTTAGTTATTGCTATGTAGTGAATTATACTCATAGTATAATTATAGTGTTTATAAACTGTTATAAATTGTAATCAAGTATAAATATATTTAGTTTTTCCATTTTACGAGATCAACCCTTGGTTCTTACAGTCTCAAATAATTATTAACGAATAATTAAATATAAGATATAATTCCAAGATCACCGATGATGCGTATTTGGTAATACATAATAAAGCTTATTACGAATAATTAATAACAAAAAATAATTGCAAGACCACTGATGATAGGTATTTGCTCTATGGTCAGCCTAAAATTCAATTAATTATAAATAGTTTAATAATAAATGTTCAATAAAAACTAGAGAGGTTTTTGAGAGGTTGAAAGCAATAGTTTACATTAAAAATTTAGTTTCTTTCGTCAAAACGGACGTTAAAAATCAATTTGATATATTATTTATTACTATAGGAAACATAAGACTTTAATATGGTTCAGCCAGCATAATCGGTTGTAAATAGTAATCATTTGCTTCGTGCATATATGGTCGTATCTATATTCTTATATCCAATAGTTCATAAACTATTTTTATAAATGATTACTTAGAAATGTCTTTTATTTTACTATATTTTTGTTTTCAAACGTGTAACTATTGAACTCTGTTTTAGCTGTCATTATATCTTATGCTGGCTTCACATGAGAACTTTGTTTGTAATTGCAGCTGTCATGTTTGTAATTTTAGCTGTCAATTGTTGTTGTTTTCAATGTAAAATGAAAACTTTTGACAACTAAAATTACAAACAAAATTTTACATGCAAAACTCCAGAAAAATGTGCGAACATAAAAAGTCAAGTACGGCTTTGAGTCAGTTGGTTAAGGAGCGCTGACTTTGAGCTTTAAATTTAGTAGGGTACGAGTTCGATTCCTGGTACTTGCAGTCTCTAAAAATTATTTACGTATAATGAAATACAAGAATTATTTCCAAGACCAGTGATGATGAGTATTTGACAATATTCGAAATAGCTCTGTGGTCAACCAAAAATTTAATTAATTAAAATAATATAAAAAAGAATTATTGTTGTTGTAGTTCACTACTTTGCGAAAGGCTTCGTTATGGATTCTCTACATAAATACGGAGAATAGAATGCGAATAGCAAAAACTATTAATTTTCGAGCAAGTGAATGTTTGAATCTAACTGATTCTTATATCTAAATTTCCGTCACGAGTAGTTGTTTTTCGTGTTAAGTGTATTTGATATAGTAAAAGTATTTATAATGAACTAATAATACTCGCGCGGAAAAATAATAAAATAAAAATAATTAAAAATAAAAAACAAATTTTGTTAAATAATATTTTATTGCCTTTTAGTTTACAGCATTTCACAAAGAGTTCATCACATTTTCTGTTTCTCACGCCCACTTTTCAATATATTTTCACTTTTATTAACATATTACTATACTAATATTTTTTCATTTGTTGTTTGTTTACTACGCTTTTATTGTAATTAATATTAATTAATATATAAGAAAAGCAACAACAATAAGAATAATAAACAAAACGTGATAAACTCTTATCAACAATTTTCATAGAATTGAAAAAATACGAACACATCTGTGTATTTTATATACAGAAATATTTTTACTATATCAATATGGCACCTAGAACTCAACTGTTTTCAATTAAGTTGAAAAATGGTCTTGGGTATGGGATTGTGGGTCTAAAAGTTATAAGAGTCCCTTAACTTATATTTAACTGAACTTAATTTAAGGAATTGATAGAATTGGCCAAAATACGAACACATCTGTAAATTTTATATACAGAAATATTTTTACTATATCGATATGGCACCTAGAACTCAACTGTTTTCAACTAAGTTGAAAAATGGTCTTGGGTATGGGACTGTGGGTGCAAAAGTTATAAGTCCCTTAACTTATATTTAACTGAACTTAATTTAAGGAATTGATAGAATTGACCAAAGTTGATTTAATAAAACTTATACTTGGAAGGCATTTCGTTTTAACTAAATGATTTAGTAGAGTTCTATAAGGGAAGGTAAGGTGCGCCCCTAGTCTGTATAAACACTAATGAAAATGTTGATTAATTAATTTACTATTTGAAATGCTTTAGCTGAGTAATCTGTAATGTGTTTATATGGATATTTCTAATGACGTTTTCGATTTGTAAATCTGGATTCAGTCTAGATTTACTCTCGATCTGTCAAATTTTGTCGCCCGATCGAATATTTTTAGAGTAAACTAACATGTTTGTAGTAGTGTTAGTAGACATTTATGAAACATTTAACGAATCAAATCACACTTTATTTATGAACTCATATACAACAGCTGTTCATTTCAGTGCAATCTTGCTACTCTGGCAAAATATCTAGATTGTTATAAATTAATCTAGAGTCTTTTACATTTTGCTCGAGATTTATCAATCGAAAATGAAAATTGAATTAAAAGTGAGTCTCGATTGAAAAAGTTACTCCAGATTAACCAATTGAAAACGGTAGATTAAATTATATTACAGGCGCGCTGTAGACTATAGTGCATAGTCTTAAAATAATGAATATATTATATAAATATATATGCTCGAGTATAATATACACATTGTTACGCTGTAGATACTTATATAGGATATATACATTTTCTATACATATAATTATAAATTTAAAAATTTATTATATATATAAATAAAATAAAATAAATATATTTACAGAAATAATTTTATAACTATAATCTTTACCTTCTTTATTGCTTGTCTGTAGGTTAGCACCATGTTCCGTGCAGCTGGCTAGGATGATACAAAAGTCTGGTTGCGATGTGCTGTGTATCATAGATCGTCAAATACCATCTGAATTAGTAGAACAATTCAGCGAGTTTCGTTCATTCGACAAAGCTTTCGACTCTATGGTCTCTTGCTTCAAGTCATCAAAGCTGAACATGCCTGTAGTCTATGCGCCAGTACCCGAGTTGACCGACTATCACGACATACGCATATATCAGCAAGCAGCAGCCAGTTCCATGCAACGTGCCATTAAGGTAAGATCAAATGAATTCCATTGTCTTTTATAAATAGAAACTCATTTTCTATTTCTTTCCAAAGGCTGGCTTTAAAGCACCGTTGTTGCTTGTGCCTGAAAGCCAAAAATTCGTGAATACCGAACTTTGTACGGTGTTAGGTGCTTTAGAAGAACTCTATGTGGTAAGTAATTAATTCCAGAAGTAGCTAAAGAAAATAGTTTCTTATAAAAGAATTTATTTGTCGTAGCCAATTCAACAACGAGAAAACCTTCCTAACAAAAAACAGTTAATTTCAAATTTGTCGGTGCTAATATCAAGTCCTAAAGCAGATGAAATTTTCAAGGAAGCGCTTATACTGGAATCAGGACGTTTTGTAGCGCGCGATATTGGTACATTTTTTTTATTTCATTATTGCGAATATGGTTTTATGTTTGGTTTTTATCTTGATGTTTGTTGTTTAAAGGTGTTGGTGATCCAGAAAGAATGACACCACCACGTGTTGAAGAATATATCAGTGGATTGTTCCCTGAACTCAAAGTCACTGTCATCAGTGATATTAACACGCTTGTAAAGGAGTATCCACTATTTGCCGCTGTTAATCGCGCTGCTCAAAGTGTGCAGCGTCATCAGGGACGTATTATATTCCTGGAATATAAACCACCACAAGCTGCAAGAAAAACTCTAATGTTAGTCGGTAAAGGTGTCACTTATGATACCGGTGGTGCTGACATCAAAGCTGGTGGTATTATGGCTGGTATGTCGAGAGATAAATGTGGCGCCGCCGCAGTTGCTGGTTTTATGCAGGTAAGAATACCGCTTGTCGTATTAATTAATTCATTAATTAAAATTAATTATTGTTTTTACTATTTTCAGATCGTAAGTCAACAAAAACCCAAGGATGTGCATGTAATCGCTGCACTTTGTTTGGTTCGCAACTCCGTGGGTGAAGAATCTTACGTCGCGGATGAAGTTATTACTTCACGTGCCGGTGTACGTGTACGCGTTGGTAATACCGATGCCGAGGGTCGTATGTGTATGGCTGATGCTTTGTGTCGTATGAAAGAAATTGCCATGGATCAAAAATTACCCGACCCACATTTATTCACCATTGCTACTTTAACTGGTCACGCTTGTTTGTCTGCTGGTGAAGGTTACTCAATTATTATGGACAACAGCGTTGCTCGCGAAGCACAACATGCGCGTCATTTGCAATGTGTAGGACAATCTGTCGGTGAACCCTTCGAGGTATCTGTGCTGCGTCAGGATGATTTTGATTTTAATGCCGGTAAAGTTATTGGTGAAGATATTGTGCAGTGCAACAATCTCGCGTCTTCACGCACGCCAAGAGGACATCAAGTAAATTAATTTTTGTTTTATTGCTGTTTGTGCAATAATTTACTTTTTTTGTTTTTTTTTTTAATTGTGCAGGTACCAGCTGCCTTCCTTATGCTAGTGACTGCGCTTACTAAGCAGGGTCTGAAATCTTCTTACCCAATCAAATATACACATTTGGATATTGCTGCCAGCGCTGGTGAATATCCGAAAATGCCCACTGCCGCTCCTATTATTGCACTAGCAAAGGCTCATCTTTCGTAATTGTTGTGACGTCTTTTAGTATTTTTTATATCGAAAAAAATAATTGTAACTTTTAAATTGAATTATTGGAATTTATGAATTTAGAAAACAACGCGTAGAGTACTTACTGAGAAAAAGTAAAGCTTATCTATTGTCATAGACGTTCACACTACGGAATAAAATCACATTTTTGAACATTATTGATATTTTTTTCAATTTAAAACTTTATTTAAAATTGTTTTATATAGATTTCTAAATTTTAATTCGAAATTTTCTAATCCAGATGTCTTAAGTTTTATAGAAGTGAAAGTTTGGAGTGATCATAAAGCTGCCAAATCACCATTATTAGGGATATTGAAAAGGTCTGACATAATTTATGTAAAAAAAACAAAGTCTATTTAATTGCTTCTTAAGTAAACGTGAGATCCTGTGGTAGCTCAACGGTCTTTACGTGTTGCAATGGGCGACTGTCACTTCCACCTATCAATCAAATTACCTTGAAAATGTGGTTTAAATAAAATTTAGTATATAAATACTAAATCTATAATTGTCACTTGTTTGTGGCATATGTTTACTGGTTGCCATGTGTTTATTGATAGTCTTCTTTGTCTTCACGTTTGAGGATACCAGTCAATACATCTCTTTTCATCTTTGTCGTAAGATTGACGAGTCGTGTGCGCAATCTATATTCTCTTATCTTTAATAATTATAATCTATGGAGCACTTCTCCATCTTTGTAATAAGAGTAATGAATCATGTTAATAATCTAGTTTCACTAACGGCGTTAAATCGCCACTCTTTTTTGGCTCCAATTGTGATTTTCCCCCCCATTAATGTGGGTTACCCAATAATGCGAAATATTCGATATTTACCTAAATTTACCTACTATATTGGTATTAACCATCAAAGGTTAGCGACTTTAATTTTTTCCTATTTAGACATTTGCTCAAAATTGTTAAAACATTTGAAGCGATTTGAGATTTGAAGAGTCTACGCTGTACATTATGGTCGATAACAAAAATAATAAGTAAAATAAACAATGGACTATAAATAATAAAGATGGATAAGAAACAAAATAAATCGTAACTCCCTTGAAAGAAATGAACAAAGAATTTAATTGGTTCCTAGAAAAATTTAGAGACACTCAACATTAACTACCAAATACTCTACACAACTTCAGTCGATGTTATTATTATTGTTAGGGGATGTGGCACTGCGACCGTTGGATCTATTATGCCCCCTTCTGGGTTTAGAGTAGGTCTCTAAACCCTGCTGTGCTTCAATAGAAAGTAGTAAAGAACCAACTTTACAGAGTTTTATTGCTTCTTTCGTAAGAATATACATGCGCAGGAGACTATTCCGTATGTGCACTAGTGCAGGTAACCAGTCGACGTTAAATCGTTCGTAATTAGCGCAAGCCAAGCAGTTCCTTCGAAGAACAGGAGAATGCTTAAAGTACTGCTTAAATACAGCAATATAAACTATTATCAAATTATATTAATTATTCAATTTTAATGCAAATTAAATATATTATAATGTAAAGACCGTGTAATAACGTATACGGTATTACTTTTAGAGCGTAGCAGCAGTAACAAAAACTATATCTTTTTAGTTCCTTATTATTATTTTAACTTAAAATGGAACCTTAAGGAAATCAAGACCATTCCAATGATAATAAGCTGAAGCTGATTGACAAATATCTCTGTACAAATATGAGCACCTTTGGAGTCCCGCAAAATCTCGTCGATACCATCGATACCTGTCATATCATCAGAATTCTTATTACCTAAATTCTCATATAGAATATACAATATATTTTGTTTTAAGTTAAGGCTTCCAAAATGTATTTTTTTACCCATTAAGGAGAAATAAATAAATATCAATAATAATAATAACAATAAATTTTCATTTTAATAATAATTTTAAATATTAAATTCAAATAATAATTAATAATAATAATTCTTAATATAAAATTTTAATAATCTATCTATCTATATATATAAGTGTTAGTTAGACCACTTATAACTCAAGAACGGCTGGACCGATTTTAAATATCTTTGATTTGTTGGGATCGCCTCCGTTCCGAATAGCAGAATATATTATAAAATATTGGAAAAATTCACTAATCTTAGCAAAAATAATAAATTTGTAAATTCTGTTTCAAACTGTCGACAGTTCGACAGTTTGAGTGATATTGATTACTTTTTAAATTTTTTTTTCAAATATTTCAAATTTCAAATAAAATAAATTCAAATATAATAAATAAATAAATACTGTCATCAATATATGAGCGGAAAGTATCGATTTGTTTGTTTTGTGCATGTATTTAACATTAATAATGCCGCGACCCAGAAAGTCTTATCTTTCGCAACAAAGCCGTAATGCAATTAGGCGTCGAAACATTACGCATGCATTCACTGAAGAAGAACGAGAAATCGCACATGAAAGGAGCCTAATATACAAATATACTTCATGGGCAATATGACGGAACAACTTCTAATTAATAATAAGAATAATAATTTTATATATTAACTTCTAATAATAATTAATAATAATCATTTTATATATAAAATTCTTATTAATTCTAAATAAAATTAACAGAAAACACGCGTAATAACGTAAACGGTATTTCTTTTAAGGCATTGAGCTGATAAGGCAGAGCTGAATTAGCTTTGACACCAACCTTTAGCTTAGACCGTATATTATCAAGTGCAAAATACTTTTTATTTTTGAGTTACGTTCAAACTTCATTTTGGATAGACTTTTTCGAAATAATTTTACCAGAATGCGTGCCTCCATAAAATTGAAACTTTAAAAACTATTAGAAAATAAATAAGATACAAAATAATAATAAAAATAAATGTTTAAAATATAAATTGTTTAATAACAATTTTCAATCATTTCACTCATGTACTTTATCTCCTTTAACCCTCAAAAGCTTTTATAAAAATTTTATATTTAAGTGCATATTGTTACCTTTTTCGCGGAGTCTCATATCTTATATTATACAAATTATATTATAATTTGATTTATATATACCTGCAATTTTACGCCCCCCTTCTTAGTCCAGGGCCTCACTTTGACTCGCTGCCTATTCTTTCAGTGGCTGGTCCTGTTTACTTTCAAAGTACAAAACGGACGATGCAATGCATTATATACGGCATACGCACGTACATGCCATATACATACATACATACACACATGCATTTGCATACAATAGCAATGGATTGCGATTATCGCTTTTATGTTCCCCGTTTGCGAACATTTCTCCGATTTGCTCACCGATTAAGCATGCATCGGGGCTTCGTTGTCCAGTGGCTGCTCTTGGCTCCTATTTTCAAGCGTTCGCTGTGTTTTTGATTTTTTACGTGCGCTTTTATTAAATTTTTTTTTTTTTTGCGCAATTTTTTTTATTATTTTGTCTGTCTTTTATCGTTTGAGGCTTCTTCTGTTATTGTTATTGTTTTTGCTTTTGTTTTTGTTTTTGTTTTGCATTCTTAGATAACGATTTCTTTGCAGTTCTGTTCATTCATTTTTTGCATATATTTTTATTTTTTATGTGTCCATTTTATATTCGCCATTAACATTCTAACTGCAGCGGCGCGGTCCCGTTAGCTTGGCTTGGAAACTCGGTCAAGAGTGTCTCCATTCATGCTGAGCTGAGCTGAGCTGAGCTGTGCCGTAATTGCATAATTCCCGTTACCGTAACAAGCTTAGCTTGTCAGTTGCTTCGGTTGTCTCGGTTATGTCGGTTGCCTATGTTGCTTGGTTTCTTGGTTTCTTGCTTTCTTTTCTATTCTTTCTACGCAATTTTCATTAATTTTTTTTTCTCTTATTATTATAGCTACTTACTTTTTTATTTCGTTTTTCCTGTTTCTTGCTAAGCCCGACTTTGGTTTGTTTGACTTTGGGTGCTTTCACGTAATTTATTTGTGAATTCTGCACATAAAACATTTGACAGTGATTCTTCCAAAGAAGGGAATACTTTGTAGGCTTGGTAACGGTCGGTCGTCAATTTGTTTAAATTTTGGGTGAGACTTTTGCATGGGAAGAAAATCTATACAGAGGTTGATACTTTAAGGGTCGATTACATATAGTTGTAACTCAAGACTCAATACTGACTTAAGTCGTGTTTAAGTATTCACTCAGCTTTGAGACTTAAAATATAACTACGAAATAAGATCTAAGGGGTAAGGCAAGAAGTGTGTGTACTAGGTTGAATACTATAAAATGAGAAAAAATTTCTGATTTCTTTTGAAAATGGAAAAGGTTAGATGCATAGTTTGGATGGAAGATTTAAACTCATGTCGTTTTTGATTGATAAATCTGGGTTAATTATATCAATCGAGATGTACTTTTAATACAATTTTCATATTCGATTGCTTAATCTTAAGGATTTCACTTAAGGATAACATTGAGATTAATATATAACACTCTAGATATTTTGTCAGGGTAACAAGATTATACTGCAATTAACAGCTGTTTAATATGACTTGACAAATAAAGTGCGATTTGATTCGTTATATGTTTTATAAATGTTTACTAATACTACTACAAAAAAAAATTTTAAATCTAAAAATGTTCGATTGGGAAACAATATTTGACAGATCGAGTGTAAATCTAGATTGAATCCTGATTTATCAATCGAAAACAACAGTAATGGGCCTCAAATACGGAAAATTTATATAGAACTGTTAAACATAAATATTTTTTGAGTCCAATTTTTAATAAATGAGCCGGATTTGATATATTTTAATAATAAAAAAGTTAAGTATATGTAAAAGAAAGATAAGGTATAATATTTCTCTTGTTATAAGCCATAATATCTAAGTAAGTATCTAATTAACATCAGGGCCCCTGAAGGTTTAGAATCTTTACATAGTAAATGATGAACACTGAAACATGAGGTCGAGTACAGATTTCCCCTCACCCGGAGACAACCTGATAAGTTTATGAAAAGACTATGTGTCTAGTTTTTAATCTAGCTCCGTTAGGCCAATTATGGATGGAGTACTGAGGATTTTGAAACTTCCCTTAGTCAGTAATAAGTACTGGCATATGAGGTGGCTCATTCGTTGAGCAAAAGCCCAAAAAAAATTCGTTAATTGCTAGATCAAATTTTATTGCATACCTTTATAATACGCGTGACCCATCAGCATCGATATTATAGTACTTTGTTGGTACCGCTTGAGATACCGCA